TTTTAAAAGTAAAATATGGATATCTAATTCATTTTGATCAGACAAAGCTTCTTAGTATACTAATTCTTAGTTTTACTCTCTAAGCATTATTTTTTCTGTTATTATAATATTTCATTGATACCGTTGTGAATCGGTGATGGCATTCTTTATGTCAGAGGTCAATTGAAATAAAGCTGACAGTCCCTTTATGCCTCAAAAAACTTGATTTCTTTATTTTATGTAAGAAATATTGTCCCCTGTATTGTATTTAGGATATTAGTGTAACTACACAATACTAAAAAACGTTAGGACTAATCTCAGTCCCTTAGTATGGTAGTGCAGTGGCGTGACAGTTTAGATAATCGTGACAGGTTGAGAATTTAATCTTTTCATAATTCTCTCCGGTTCCTTTTCCTTCTTCAATTCTCAGGAGCCTGTATTATTGTACCAAACTGCCTACTCCCCCCCCCCTTCATCCTCTCTAAAATATTAAACTTCTCTCAGGCTTGTTTAAGTATCTCCTAGTTCAATGTATCCTATAATAACTTGTCTCCTCTTGTAATTTGTATCCAATAGCTCCTTGTATCCAAATATCCTAGTATCCACTATATCCTAGTATCCACTATATCCTTTTATCCAATAGCTCCTTGTATCCACTATATCCTAGTATCCACTAGCTCCTTGCATCCACTTTTTCCCAGTATCCACTAGCTCCTTGTATCCACTATATCCTAGTATCCAATAGCTCCTTGTATCTACTTTATTCTAGTATCCACTAGCTCCTTGTATCCCTTTTATCCTAGTTTACACTAGCTTCTTGTATCCACTATATCCTAGTATCCTATAGCTCCTTGTATCCACAAGCTCAGTTTACCCACTAAATCCTAGTATCCAATAATTCCTAGTATCCACTAAATCCTAGTATCCACTAAATCCTAGTATCAATTTTATCCTAGTATCCACTAGCTTCATGTATCTACTAGCTCCTTGTATCCACTAGCTCCTTGTATCCACTAGCTCCTTGTATCCACTAGCTCCTTGTATCCACTAGCTCCTTGAATCCAGTAGCTCCTTGTATCCACTAGCTCCTTGTATCCATTAGCTCCTTGTATCCACTAGCTCCTTGTATCCACTAGCTCCTTGTATCCATTAGCCACTCGTATCCACTAGCTCCTTGCATCCACTACCTTCTTGTTTCCACTAAGGTTGTTAGAACCAGAGAAGGTGCAGATGGGGATAGAAAAAGGCGAAGAGGGACTGAAGAAAATTTAGAAGGGACGGACATAAAGAAGGTTGAGTGAGCCCGGAGAAGATTAAGAGGAACTGGAGAAGGATATGGGGGAACTGTAGAAGGTTAAGGGGGTCTGGAGAAGGTTAAAGGGAACTGGAGAAGGCTAAGGGTGTGTGGAGAGGGTTAAGGTGAACTGGAGAAGGTTAAGGGGAACTGGAGAAGGTTAAGGGGAACTGGAGAATGTTAAGGGGAACTGGAGAAGGTTAGGGTGTGTGGAGAGGGTTAAGGTGAACTGGAGAAGTTTAAGGGTAACTGGAGAAGGTTAAGGGGAACTGGAGAAGGTTAAGGGTAACTGGAGAGGGTTAAGGGTAACTGGAGAAGGTTAAGGGTGTGTGGAGAGGTTTAAGGGGAACTGAAGAAGGTTAAGGGGAACTGGAGAAGGTTAAGGGGAACTGGAGAAGGTTAAGGGGAACTGGAGAAGGTTAAGGGTAACTGGAGAGGGTTAAGGGTAACTGGAGAAGGTTAAGGGTGTGTGGAGAGGGTTAAGGGGAACTGGAGAAGGTTAAGGGGAACTGGAGAAGGTTAAGGGTGTGTGGAAAGTGTTAAGGGGAACTGGAGAAGGTTAAGGGGATGAAGAGTGAAGATTTATATGTTACATGAACCTCAACCCTAAAAAGATATAACTTAGCAATTTGATATATTTTTTAATTTCACTTAAAATAAAACATACGGCAGAAAGTTTGCGGAGGGTTTGGATTGCTGTTGGAGAAGGTTCGCATGGATCTGGGAATAGTCTTGATGGTTGTGGGAGAAGATTGCAGCTGCTTGAATCTCTCAGTCACACTTCAACAGCTATCCCACGGAGATGAACTGGTGCAGAACAAGAACCACTTCCTCAGGAGTCAAAACCAAAGAGAGGGGGGGGGCACCACGCGTGGTGAACGCGTGCCCCCCCCTTCATAAATAAAGGAGAAAATACTTAAAACAGAATTAATAATTATGCATGATGCTCAATATAAATATAAAATTTAGATCTAATCTTTGAATGTATGCAGATTAAACATGAATTGCTAAAGAATACCGAAAGATGGTCAGTAAAGACGGAGGGGGGGGGGAGAGAGAGAGAGAGATTACTATTCATTTACTATTTTTTATATATAACGTAATGAATCTAAAGAATTCTCTCTTAGTTCTCATGGTAAAGAACGTTACACATGGATGGGTTGGTTCTCTTCATTCCTAGTTTCTCGGTCGGTTTTTCTCCTCTCCGTGGTGTGGGAAATCATCTGGAGTGGAACCTTGCAACCAGAATTCATCCTTACCATGGAACTTTATCGGATACAATCGGAAACCAGGTTGGATTTCTCCGAGTCTAAACAATGTTCGCACATCTTTATTGATTCGGTTAGAAATTACAAAATACGAACGAGACTAAATCTGAAAGTTAATTAGGAAACACTGAAATCTTATTTAACATGGTTTGATTTGATGTTACGAGTACTAAACACAAATATTTAAATAACAAAGAATATTATCTCTTTAATTAAACGATTCTCTTTGTTTACATGTTAATTTGATTTTACGAGTACTAAACACAAATATTTAAATAAAAAAAATATTATCTCTTTAATTAACAGCGTCTTTTTGTTTACATGCTAATTTGATGTTTCGAGTACTAAACACAAATATTTAAATAAAAAAATATTATCTCTTTAATTAACAGCGTCTTTTTGTTTACATGCTAATTTGATGTTTCGAGTACTAAACACAAATATTTAAATAACAAAAAATATTGTCTCTTTAATTAACAGATTCTCTTTGTTTACATGCTAATTTGATGTTTCGAGTACTAAACACAAATATTTAAATAAAAAAAATATTATCTCTTTAATTAACAGCGTTTTTTTGTTTACATGCTAATTTGATGTTTCGAGTACTAAACACAAATATTTAAATAAAAAATATTATTTCTTTAATTAACAGATTCTCTTTGTTTAAATGTTGATTTGATGTTACGAGTACTAAACACAAATATTTAAATAACAAAGAATATTATTTTTTTAATTAAAAGATTCTCTTTGTTTACATGTTAATTTGATTTTACAAGAACTAAACACTAATATTTAAGTAACAAATATTTTAATTAACAGATTCTCTTTGTTAACTTGTCTCTGCTTGTATGAAAAACTAAACTATAAAGTTGTCTTTATAGTATATACACTACAGGGTTACCCACAAAGGATGAGACTTCAGACTAGAGACGTGACTGTACGGAATTAATGTTGTCTGTTTCCAGGAAATCACGAATCCCTGCAACTGTAATCTTCTTTCTTTCTTTGCCAAATCAGCAAATAGGCCATTTGATTACTATATCTAAGGCAAGGGATCGTCACATTTTAAAAGTTTCCAGTCGTCTTTACAGTCTCATTTTTTGTGGGTAACCCTGTATATACGATGACCACTGTACCCTAATCGAAATTTTGTGTGGAGATGCTTTGTAGATAGTCGATAGTGAAATTAACGCTCCTAATTTTTCTCCAATATAAGTCCCTTCCATCTCCTTAAAATTCCTAGCTCAATTTCCTGTGGTTTCTTTTTATTACAACATCTATAAAGTTCTTAGAAATTCTTCCTTTGCTCTATTTTTTGATCTCAAACATGTCTGGTGCTCTTGTAAAGTTACTGTTTTTAAACTTAAAGTCACTGTTTTTAAACTTAATGCTCTTCTATTTCTTATTTAAAACTTCTTATTTCTGCTTTTTACAATCCTAATTCTGAGTTCGAATTTATAGAATTTGAGTCGCGGCTTAAATTTCTGGCGCCCCTGTCTTCAATTTTAAAATTACTACATATTAATTCTCTTGTATAAAAGGGCCTAGCTATTTATTTTTATCTATTTTGAAAGTTTCTCTATTCTATTTACTCAATTTAAAAGTTCCTTCAGTGAGAACCAGAAAACTCTGAAATATGAAGTCGACGACTTTTAGACTCATGTTATGACTTTAAATGGACTAAAGAACATGAGGACTTCTGTTTTGCTTTAATGTCGTCTTCTATTCTACAGTTTTCTGGTTATCACTGTAGCTCCCTTAATTTAATTTGGCTGCATATACTTTCTCAAATTTTCAACTTTATGGTCTTCTTCTCGAATCTTGGAATTCTAAGGTCCTAGTTTCACGTTCTCTCTCTCAGGATTATCCAACTCTCCTCTTTACGCTGAACCTGTTTTCCATTCTTTTCTTAAACTAAATCTTAAAATACTTGAATTACCATTGTTGCGTATAATCTAGTATGTATCTGCATATCTTGATTCATCGGCCTCTTTCTCTGTTTATAAACCCGTAAGCATAATCACTGGATTAAGGTCAGGGATGTAGAAGCATAAAAGCCCAGCACGCATAATTACGTGAGCTCTATTCTTTTTGAATCGTTACGGCGGATCATAATTACGCAAGACGCTGAGCGTGAAAGAGAATATGTGGGAGATGAGAGCAGGTGTTGGTTGGGTTCTATCTTCTCAGGAATGCAGCCTGCACCTGCTCCGCTCTCCCACCAAACCCTGAGACACACGCAACTCTAACTGATCCAACAGACAAGGATAAAATGAATCAAACAGGTGATTTTGGTCCAGGATTCGAAGGAAGATTTTAACGAACTTTTTAAACCTTATTTTTACATTTGAAACTCTGGCTTATCTAATCTATAGAACTGTCTAACCATAGTTCTCTTTTCATATCTCGAACCAACTCGTTACATTTCTCTAAACTACTTTTACAAATAAAAAGGCAAATTTGAAGAATAAATATATATTTATTTTTATTGTGCATATATCACAGTACGAGTTGTAAAATAATAATTATGGAAGCCAAACTGATGTGTTGTGTAGTAAATACTATATTTTAGGAAAAATCTGCCAAGTTAGAAGGGTCTCCAGACAGGGCTGAGCTGAGGTTCAGGTTTGATGGAAGGACTGATCTGTAAAAGTCCGGAAACAGGAGAAATAATACTGCTCGGAGAAGGAGATGAATCTCTTCCTGAAGAGTATCCACAGTCTGATGAGGGAGAGGATGGAACTCTTACTCTCAAAGGAGAAACTCTTGAGGTTTCTATTGTGTTTAGTTTATGACCAAGATGAGACATAAGACGAGATCCAACTGTAATATCTACTCCGGTAGAAGCAAGACATTTGCTTACTTCAGTAGCACAGGCAGTATATCCTGCATGGAATCTATCCAGATCAAGTCCAGGGTTCAAGGCCAACATCTGCTGTCTCTTCAGCTTCCTCAAGTGTCTCACAGTCAACTCCAACACGTCAGCTTTCTCCAGCTTGGAGATGCTTTCTCCCTCTGTCTGCAGAGCGAACACCATGAGATCCTTGAGTTCATCAAGACAGGCATTAATCCGTGCTCTTCTCTTTCTCTCTAGGAGAGGTTTCATCACCTTCCTGTACTGATCCGTCCTGGACATGGACTCCTCGTTCAATTCGTTCATTTCACATTGTGCTATAGGTGCCATTTCTAAAAATTGTATCTGGTTTCTACGTCTGTACCACGTGAGCGTCAAGTTGCGACTGAATCAGACGGGCCGGTATTCACGGATTTATACCGAGAAAGCCGGAGAGTGGCGGCGTAGCGCGGGGAGACGGAGACGGGACGGGTCGGAGTAAAACCGTGGGAAGGAATGAGGGATACACTTGTAACAACAAAATCCAGCTGCTGGCGATCCGTCCCAACCTGTTATTAAAATCTATACTGAATCATTAAGTAGGTAATTGGAAGAAGCAAATTCCTGAATTAATTAAAGTTCAATGTTCAGTGGCGACTTTATCCCACTTCACGCAATAAATCAATCTAAGGAAAGAAGCATTGATTTGATCCTTTATACTGGGTTCAGCATATGTCACTTGAAAAGAAATCTCCTCCGAGATGTGGAAGGGGCCCGGAGATACTGGAAAACTCCGAGATGTAGAAGGGGCCCGGAGATACTGGAAAACTCCGAGATGTAGAAGGGGCCCGGAGATACTGGAAAATATGACTTAGAGAGAAACTGTTTGTCTAATTAATCATAATAAGCTATTCATATTCTCTAACCGGAGAGAGTTCAAATCTTATGGAGACGGGGAGAGATGAATCAGGATGCAGAGATTTTATCGCTCTCAAATACATTAACTTTAATTTGAGAAAAAACCAGCAGGTTTAGAAGTTTAGTAGAAGAAAAAACTAAAGATCCAAAAAAAGTATTATGAAAGGTTGTTTTTGAAAAGAATTCACAAATAATAATGATTGAAAATAAAAAACTGAAACTAAGGATAAAATTCAAATCTGCATTAGTGTAGGGATTAGAAATATTAGAATTTGCCAGAAACACCTTTTTTCTAAATAATCAAAATTCTTTACCCCTCAATCCCCCCCCCCACAATTATCCATCACGATATTACAATAATGAGAAGGTTGGATAAGATTACCTGTCTCTAGGCTGAGGTTGAGACAGCAAAGGCTCCGAACCTGGAGAACTCGGAGTAAACAAGGACGAACCGACACACGGATGGTGTCAACATGGAACCAATTAGCGACGGATAATTATCCTTGTTTTCATTTGAATTTGTTTTCAATGAGTCGGACGGATTGACAGGGTTCGAAATTAAACAATTCTCCGACTGACTGTTATTATCTAAGTTATAATAATTGTCTGTTAACTTTTTCATTCACTTCGTCTCCTGTATAAAATTGTACCCTGAGCCCCAAAACCATATGTTGAGCAGAGAGAACCTGAGAACCATGTGTGATATTGAACTCCACTTCCAACCCGTCCCCTCCAGCACCTAGCTTCGGCTTAAAAGATCAGGGATACCCGGATAGAGAAGATAAATAAAAAAGAGAAGAGAATCTATTCGTCCTACTACGTCTTTCCGTCTTAATACGATTATCCGTCCTAATACGTTATTCGTCCTAATACGTCTATCCATCCTAATAACATGCCCGTCCTAGTTCATCTTTCCATACTTTTTTATCTATCCGTCCTAATACATCTATCCGTCCTAATACATTTATCCGTCCTAATACGTCTATTCGTCATAATACATCTATCCGTCCTAATACATCTTTCCGTCCTACCACATCTTTCCGTCCTAATACGTCTATCCGCCCTGGTTCAACTTCATCTTTCATTTTTTTATCTTTCCATTCTAATGCATTTATCAGTCCTCATACATATATCTGTCCTACTACAAATATCCGTGCTGTTACAAATATTCGTCGCACTACCCGTCCTAGTCAATATATCCGTCCTTGTACATCTGTTCGTCCTAGTTCATCTATCCGTCCTACTACAACTAACCGTCCAACCTAACCTATTCTCAATATTAGATGGAATGTTCCATATTGTCCAGATGACAGTATACTAAATACATAGTTAGACAGCTAAATTCAAGAATAGTTGGATAGATGGATAGATGGATAGAAAACCTAACTTGAACTAAAACATCAAGTCATGGAGACATTCCTGAGTATTGTGGGACAAATCTGAATTATGTCGATTTGCATACAGAAAGATATAGATAAATAAAGATTTGTATACGGAGAGATATATAAATTAAGATCCCAAAAAATAGACATTTATATATATACAGGGTTACACACAAAGGATAAAACTTTTAAACCGACAAAAAACTTCGATTTTAAATTTGAATTGGATCTTCTGTATAAAATATAATCTTGTAGTTGAGGCTAGAAATAATCTGAAAAGAATTAGAATAAGTTATTTTGCTGCAGTATCTTAGAATTAGGACTAATTGAAATAGGTTATGTCGTCTTTGAAGTATCATCCTTTGTGGGTAACCCGTAACGTTTAAGATGAATGTTCAGATCTAAAATATAATTAATAAATTAGTTTTGAGAAAGATAGAAAGATAAATAGATATATAGATAATTAGATAAATAGATAGATAGATAGAAATATGAATCCTCTAAATGACTAGAGAAATATTGGTAAGATTGAAACAACAGTTGTTGAGCAGTAAGCATCCTAATATATTCCATCCAAACGGGATACCAGGATACCTAGAGACCTCTAGACCCGCATATACAGACCTACCAAGAGCAAAGAACACCTTGCTTGATCATCTAGGATTAATTGGAAATATAACTTCAAGGTCGAAACATTTCAAATGTTCTCATTTTTTATTTTAAGCCAATATCTAAAATGTGAAAAATTCGTTAATTTAAATATTTTTTTACCTTTTTATGGGGTTGGTCTGTCTTATTTTTATCATAAATGTGCTTTTATTCATTTTTTTATTCATTTTTTATTCATTTTTTATTTATTATTTATACACCGTCTAAACTTTCGGACTAAGTAGCGATTATGAGAAATAAAATATATAATTAGAATAACATTAAACCAAACAGATTCTAGTACAATAGATGGCAACGTATAATTTTTACACTCTTAGCACAGCTGTATATTCTGACGTCACAAGTGTCAACTCAGTTATTGTGTCTGACAAAATTATTAATATTAGTGACGATTTTAGATTAAAAGTGCTTATCTTACAGTAACATAAGTGCAATCTTATGTGCTCTTTATTTTCTGTTTTAAAACTTTTATATTTAATCTTGGAAAACATGTCAACTAATGTAAGAAAATTTGGGTTTCCTTGTTATATTTGACACTTGTGACGTCGTGTATAATTGGTCCATTTCTCTGTTGTCACCTATTGTACTTGATAATCTATTTGCATAAAACAAGGTTTGAGTTGGCTGTTTTTCACAGCTTGAACTAACTAGGAACATATTCAGGATTTATTTAAGGGGGGGGGGGGATTTTAAATAAAGAATAAATAAATGGGTTTTTAGTTTTTAAAAGGGGAAAATATAATTTATAGGTGAGGGGGGGGGGGTAGCTTAGCCCTCAACAACCCAAGCTATGTTTTGTTCCTCATATAAGGGAGTTGGAAAACAGAACTAGATAAAAGATTATTTATGAACTCCCCTGGCATGAATTATTATTAGTCCAACTTTTAACCCTCATCCCCCCTCCCACCTCCCCCTCCATCATCTCATAGGCTCCCCTTCTCCCTCCACTCATAATCTCCCCTACTGCCACCCTAAATACTTTTTCCGCCTTAATGACAATATTTGATGGTATTGTAACCAAGGTTGGGTAATGATAGGAGAGGAATGCAGGGGAGCAGTTTCTACCCTTAAATACACCCCCCCCCCTCTACACTACACTAATATATGGTCCCCTCCCCTCCCCCAGGACTCAACTCATGCCCCAATTAAAGCAGGAATGTCGCCTGAACAAAGCCCTCAATTTCCTAAGTATAATCAGTCCTGGTGCTCACTCCAGGACCCAGCAGTATTATGGTTTATATAAAAATATTAAAGTATCTAGTAGGACCTAGAGAACAACTCAGTATCTAGTAGGACCTAGAGAACCACACAGTATCTAGTAGGACCTAGAGAACCACACAGTATCTAGTAGGACCTAGAGAACCACATAGTATCTAGTAGGACCTAGAGATTCCATCTACTTGAGTTCCTTAGTTCCTCCTATTATATAAACCTTGCTCCAGTAAATGTATTCAGCTCTCCCCAACTCAAGCTTAAAGAGATATTAAGCGTAATTTCAAGTTTCCCTCCATGCAAAGATGGAAATGCCCTTTGCATGAACAGTACCCTTATAGCTTTCATCTGATAATTCTGATAATTCCTATTTCTTTTTCTGCAGTGGAAATGCGCAAGTCACTTTTGCAGAGAAAGCACAGTTGAAAATACTCAGTTTTCGATATTATAAACATTGATTTATAATTCATACTTGATCAGACAAAGCTTTTAAGGGTATCGCTGTGAATCGGATATTACCATCTTTGCATGGAGGGTCACATGTAATTACGCTTACAGTCCCTTTAATATAAAAAGACCGACTGTTTACTGAGGGAACAAATAGGTTTAAATTGATATCGGAGAATGTAATCGAAACTTGAATTATTTGAATAGGTTCATGGGAACCTGGGTTCGGGATACCTTTGATCAAGGACGCGGAGTAGACAAGTCTTTGATCAGAACGCATAAAGCATCCTGGGAATGGATTACTGGATGAACAGGTTCAACCTTCTAGATAAACACAATTAGGGAGAGAAAGGAAACCGATAAACCTAACGGAGTAAAATAGGGTTGTTGGATCAGAACCCTGTGGAGAAATTTATTATCCTTAGAATATGTTTAATCAAATCATTCTAAATCTGTACACTTTTAATCATTGTACAATGTATATATCTATAATCTTTATAACGTTAAAACCATCTTTTATTTTAAAATAATTATATTTAGAAAAATTATTGATAGATTTTTAATATTTTAAAGATTCATGATGATAGAAAAAATATTTTAGTAAGTTTTTGGGGAAGAGCCTGAAACTCAGTTTCGAAGGGAAACACTGTTTCGGAAACTCGGTTTTAGAAAAACCCAGTTTCGTAAACTCGGTATGTGGAAAGCAGGTATCGGAAACTCGGTAGCGGAATCAAGGTATCGACAACTCTGTAGTGGAATCAAGGTATCGGAAACTCTGTAGCGGAATCAAGGTAACGGAAACTCTGTAACGGAATCAAGGTATCGGAAACTCGGTATCGGAATCAAGGTATCGGAAACTCTGTATCGGAATCAAGGTATCGGAAACTCTGTAGCGGAATCAAGGTATCGGAAACTCACTATCAGAATCAAGGTATCGGAAACTCGGTAGCAGAATCAAGGTATCGGAAACTCTGTAGCGGAATCAAGGTATCGGAAACTCTGTAGCGGAATCAAGGTATCGGAAACTCTGTAGCGGAATCAAGGTATCGGAAACTCTGTATCCGAAACTTAGTTTCGAAACCTCAGTTACAGAAACATTGTGGCATCTCAATTTAAACGTAAAAGAAATCAACAATGATACGCTAAATTAAAAAATCGATGCCCGATGTTTTGTCTTCTTCGAAAAACTCGGATTCCCAAACCCTGTTTACGTTAAAGTGCAATTTCTCTAGTTTCCACCGTTGATCCTAAACTGATCTCTTCTCTTTTTATGACTTGACGAATTTGTAAATATAAGCAAATCGAAATAAATCTGAAGCATGTGTAAAGCAACTTGAAAACTTATTTCATGGTTCGAATTGGTTTAAAAATGTTGTGAATCAAGTAGAATACACAATTTACCGTTTACTTTGAACCAAAGGAAGGAAATAATACCTTGCTCATGTATTATACTGAAGCAGTGCACCTGGACCCTGAGAGCACCATGTTAAATTCCTTCAATAACCAGCACCAATTCTTTCTAAATTTGAACATTTCAATAGTCCGGAGAGAATTGAACGCGGCGGGATGCGCGGAGAGAATACAACTCTAGAGGATGCTCGGTTGACCAGCTCTCAATGAAAGCATGGAACTAGAATTTGTAAGATTTAGAAACCAACTTATCATCCTCTACTCATTCATTCCTGCACAAATAGTCATTGGTCAGTCAATATTTGAATTGTATATATTATGTTTAAAACCGGATACATAACATACATACAGGGTTAAACCGGATACATAACATATATACAGGGTTAACCACAAAAAATGATACTTATATATCGACCGACTCTTTACATACGAAAAGTTTGAATTAGTTTTAAAATGGTACTTTTTTGGGTACCACTAATGTAATTCCGTACAGTCGTCTCTGATGTCTCATTCTTTGTGGGTAACCCTGTATATATACAATAGCATACCAAGGGTTTAATACATATCCTGTCTGTTTCTCAGTGGTTAAAAATCAAAATGAAAGCTTTACAGGTATATTTACAGGTATATTTACAGGTATATTTACAGGTATATATACAGGTATATTTCTGAGTTGATTTACGTAAACGAGAAAATATTCAAAAAAGAATCTTTTCCTTTCCTTTGATAGAATAATTTTAATTTACCATCTATTATTCCATGATTTTTATTTGGCAATATCGGCGAAATAATTTTTTTTTTTATCAAATTAATTATTAGATTTATTTATCCCTACGCCTAATTCTTTGTAAATATATCCTATTTTTTTTTTTTACCTAATAACTCATTTAATCAATTTTGAAAAAATCACACCTAATATTTCCCGTTGTAGGGTGATTAAGTGACATTATCGCCCTCCAACAGGGCAAAAAAGTAACTTTTTTACTCTGCTATTAAAATTTCAAACTTCATACATTATTTTTCCCGTTTTAGGGTGATACATTTACTTTATCACCCTACATCAGGGTGATAAAGTAACTTGATCGACCTGCTATTAAATAAGTTGAGTAAAATTGAATTTAACTTAACAGTATACTTGTTTTTGGAATGTGTATCATGCGTGCGAAAAAGTTTTTGCTGTGATTTTTATTTTTGATAGTTTCGTTCGTTCGTTCGTTCGTTCGTTCGTTCGCACTTAATAATTCCCATAACAATGACATTATTCCCNTTTTGAAAGAATTGTAACTACAAAATCCTTACACCTTTTCAACCTGTTGATTTAGACCTTTAATAATATAAAATTCTTTTATCTAACAAATTTAAATATCTAAGGTCTGCGACATCAAATTGCAAAGATATAAGGATTAGAAAATAAGCCATTAATTCCTTTTTAAACAAACCGAGTTCTTTCCGCGAACTCTTATTTTTAAATCCCTATTTCTTTGCAACCTAATGTCGCAGACCTATAATTATATCAAACAATTCATTCTGTTAAATAAAATAATATAAGTTAGAAATGTCATGTACATCATCAGGTTGCATAGATTTAGGAATTTACAAATTTTGGTTAGTGGATAGAAGTTATTTTCTTTGTCTGTGAAAATGTTATTAATCGTTTGGTTCTCAAAAAAATGTTCTATAAGGGTTCCTCCTTCAAAACAACCAGCAATGGTTAGAGAGACCCAAGCGTTTAGTAAAAAATTGCTATTTTTAAGCCGAAATAACTTTATATCTACCTATCTAAATATATCCGTTTCTCAGCTTACCGTTATTTTTCTGCCTGGTTTCCAGATTGCTTCCGCTGGTAGGTGTAGAGGAGGTAAAGTAGCACTGTACAGCTGGCTGAGTGGAGCAAACTGGGAGGTGGAGAGGAGACGGTTCAGATCCTCCTCATAGTATAGTTCATGGGACTCAGGTTCAGGGGACCGTGGTTCATGCTTCACCTAGATATACACAGGATCAGAATAGGGATCGGGATTGTCAGGATTAGGATTATAATATCAGTATGGACGATCAGGATCAAGATAAGGATCAGGATCAAGATAAAGATTAGGATCTAGATGAAGATGAGGATCAAGATAAAGATGAGGATCAAGATAAAGATAAGGGTCAAAGATCAAGATAAAGATGAGGATTAAGATGAAGATGAGGATCAAGATAAAGATGAGGATCAAGATAAAGATAAGGGTCAAGATGAAGATGAGGATCAAGATAAAGATGAGGATCAAGATAAAGATAAGGGTCAAAGATCAAGATAAAGATGAGGATTAAGATAAAGATGAGGATTAAGATAAAGATGAGGATTAAGATAAAGATGAGGATTAAGATAAAGATGAGGATAAAGATAAAACTGAGGATCAGGATCAGGATAAGAATTATAAATATCAAGATTAGGATATAAGGATCATGATTACAAAAAATACGGTCTTTTCAACAACAAAAATGAATGAGCTAGATCAGAATTCCGGATCAAGCTTTTCAAAAATGGATCGGAGCTTTTTTTGTGCCTTATTGATTGCACCTGTTCGCTTGCATAGTGTACATCATGATCTTGAATATCGGCGGGAGAATGGATCGACGGGTGCTCGTGGGATGGAGGGGTAGGGAACATCTGATGCAGCTGATCGGCGGGTAAACTCGGCGGTGGATCCTTTGGCCGGTACATCTTCATGTTATCAATATCCTGAAATATTTGATCGTTGATTTATATCAAGGTTTACTCACAAGGGTGTATATATATATTCATGAATAACCCCCCCCCCCCCGAAATATCAAAAGGCAAGTTTTTTATCTTTTCGATATTTAAAAGACAAAACTTGGTTTATTTCCCCAGTTCAGCTAAGAAAACTCTATACACAAACCTAACAATTGTTTGGGAAATGATTTCGCAAGAAAATATACACCCTTGTCTACTTCTCTTAAAAACGAAGGGACCGGCGATGTAATTTCTAACAACTCTCAATTTACAAAATGTCTGATTTACTACAATTTAAATTTATATCTGATCAACAACGTAGAAGGGTTCATCGTGTTTAGAGAAACCACAATTTTCAAAAAGAAAAAAATCATTCAAGATCAGACAGTTAAAGCTTTCAAGGGTATGTTGTGAATTGGTCTTTGAAAATATCATTTTTTTAAATCGTCAATCAATCGATCATTCATGATTAATTCAATAGTAATTGATCGTATCAGTAGAAATGGAATGCCACTACTCGATCAATGAGATACAAGGTAAGTAACCTCTATAAATCAATCAATTAAACAATCAATATTTTATCAGTCGGTTCCTTTACCTTGATAGAAGAAGGTGGTGTTGGAACAGCGGAGTGAACGTCCATGCTTAGCTCGGTATCAGAATCATCGAACATGTTATCTAGGTCATGAATCGACGGTTTTAAACCGTCGGCGGAGAATAAGTTGTCATCTTCTTTCCCATCCTTCTTATCATCCGGCTCTGCTTTGATTCCGCCTTTAGGTAAAGCGGATACATCGCCGTTTGTTAATACCTGAACAACAGTTCATTAAAATAATTGTTCAAATTTTTTAAAAATGGAAGTTGGGGGGGGGGGGGTAATGTGTTTTAGACAGGATTAAAATGCGTATTGATGGCTGATCTAGCAAAGATTTGAAAATGCATTAGATAGGAGTTGTGGTATAACTTTAACACAGTTTTATATCAATTTCTCAGAGCAGTTACATCAGATAGAACTAAAATTGGTCGCGAACAACTCCAAAATTCTTTTAACAGTCCCTTTAAAGGAAGATTGGAAGGGACCCAGGATGAGACTAAGGTATTAATGACTAAATAAACAGTGCTCAAAAAAATGATTAAATTTTCAGTGATCTAGGACGGATTAATCAGTTGTTTAGGACGGATTTGACAGTGGTCCAGGACGGATTAATCATTGGTTCAGACCAGATTTATCAGTGGTTTAGGACGGATTAATCAGTGGTTTAGAACAGATTTATTAGTGGTTTGGGACGGATTAATCAGTGGTTTAGAACAGATTTAATAGTGGTTTGGGACGGATTTAATCAGTGCTTTGGAACAGATTTATTAGTGGTTTAGGACGGATTAATCAGTGTTTTAAGAAGGATGAGCAGACCTGAGAGACTGGTTTTCTCTCTGGGTCTGGTTTGACCCTAGGTACAGGACTGGGCGGTAGCTCCTTCTGAAAGATAAAAAAAGTATAAAATATCAGATTTTTATGGAAAAATATTAAAAGCTTAAGAATATTGCTAAAAACCAGATTAATATCAAATTTGAATCATAAAATGTTGAAAACCTTTTAAACAATTATGGATTGGGTTCTCCAAACAATATGTTTCAAAAACAAGGTTTTACTAAAACAAAAGTTATTTTGAAAAAGTAGATTGTTAAACCTTTAGAAATACTGATAACTAGGATCTCTAAACAAACAACAAAATTAAAAGCCAATTTTAATTTAATTGGTTTAATTGGTGTGATTATGTTTATATATCACGGGTGTGATAATTTAAAACATCTCTTTTCCGACTTCATTGGCCGTTCAGGAATTCAGCCAGTTATCGAGCTTGTTGTTGAAAATGTTCAGGTTCCCAGCACTTTTGATTTCATATGGAATATCATTCCATATATTGATAATCATGTCATGCCTTAAAAAACCTTAAAAAAGATTTTGGGCACTTTTGGTCTTAAAAAGCAGATTTTGATAAGAAAAAATGTATATCAAACCTGAGAAAAGAAACTGGACTGGGATCTTCGTCGGTACATCGGCCGTTTGGGATTCGGCTGCCGATTATCTTGGCCTAAACGAGAGAAATAATTTGATATGCAAAAAAGGGGATTTGCTAGAACGATTGATATTGTAGAATAAAGGATAAGAAATGATGTTATGAAACCAAAATTAATTTGAATGAAAAATTCTTGAAACAAGCAGACGATTGCATTTCGTTTGAATATTATTAAGGAATAAAAATGCAGAGAAAATAACCTGATCAGAACTGATCTATATTATGTCACACAGGACCCTGTTTTTTTAAATAATAGTTTGCAAAATTATTCAACAAGTAAATGCTACCTTTAAATCGCTTGACAGGATGCGAGAGCCAAGCATTTAGTAATTTGTAATCGTAAGCACTCGACAATCCGTCCTCCTCCTCCTCAACCTGGAGTAACATCATTATATTGATACATAGTTCACTTGTTAGTCTGTTAGTCTTTATTCAATATTTGCTATCCAATCAACGTCAAAACAGCTGAACCAATCGGGCAACACACATCACCCCAGAAGAGGTTGAAAGTAAAAAATGTTGACAGAAATCTATAAATCTACCAATCTACCATAAAATATGACAAAAATCCGCAAAATTTTGCGTTTCACAAAATCGAAGAAAAAAGTGGCAGCTTTAAAAGTACTGCTTAGTTTGTTGCTAGAAGAGGAGCGAGGAGCGCCCTGCAAGCCTGGTTTAATATTGTTCTTTGTTTAACGATTTACTAAGAAAAACGTTTTTTTTTGTTCTTTTGAGCTGAGCCGAGCAAATGGTAATCAATGTTAACAAAAATATTTGTTAAACTTAAAGTCTACCTCATAATCTTTACTCGGCAACGAAGGTCGTTTGCTCAATTCAATTCCAGATTTAGTATCACCAGCTCCGGTGCTGCCAGGAAACATGGTTTCCGGCGCCGAGAATACCATTTCCGGATCCGGTTTTATCTCACTTGGTTCAATCCGTTTATCCGGTATTGATGCACTAACAGGACGGTATGGAGAAGGAACCGAGCTGGGAGGTTGAGACCGTGGGTTTCCCGGTGTCCGTGGGTTTCCAGGTGTCCCTGGGGTTCGGGGGTCGAATGGGGTGGTTGGACCATTACTGAGCGGAGGATGGGGGGATAAGAGAGGCATCATACCATCCCCGGGGGTTTTTACACTCTCACAACCCGTCCTTGGTGTCACTGGTCCAACACTCATCGGAGAATGAAGAGGCAGTCCCTCACTAGGGACTCGGTTGGCTTGGACACCGATTTGCGTTGACAATCGTCCGGCGGCCACAGCGCTACAAATCCCCTCCTGGTCGAGAGTCCAGCCGAGTTCGTCGACAATCTCCGTCTTCTTGTGGAACGGATTCTTGGTGTGATACTTGGTACGGAGCTCCTTGAATCTCTCCCTGGAGAAGGATTTAGGTTTGAGTTTAGGTTTCACAGGTTTGGCAGGATTGGAGTACTCCCAGTTCTTGAGGAAGGAATGATTTTCCTTGGTTTCGTTGTGCAAATCGTTCTCTTGGTTGAGTTCCGGATGGGGAAGGGTTGAGTCGTTCCAAACCCTAGTCTGGAGCCCGGAACTCGGGTTGAAGGTTGTGAGTAGAGGATGGTTGGAGACAGTAAAGGGTCCAGGTTCAAGGTTTCCTTCAGTCAGGGTTCCCTAGATAATAAGATTTTAAATAATTATACTTTTCCATTCTCTCTCCCCCACATCATGATCTCCAAAGAATAATAGCTTAACATCAAACTGGCCAACACCATCATTATGTATTTGATTTAAAAAATATAAAATGGAAAGAGAAGATAATTTCATAACGTGACGTTAATCCGTCAAAAAAATGATCGATTCCATCAAAATTAGCAAGTTTCCCCCCTTAATTAGCAGATAAATTACCTTATAAGTATAAAGTGGTTCTCTAGTACTGGGTTCAGGTAGACCATGGTTATCCAGGTCTGTTACCAGGACATAGGAGGTCGGGTAGATTAATCGCACACCGGATACAACAACCTTAACAATCGATAAATCAACAATCAATCGATTGATTGACGGGGTTTAGCACACAAAAGTGCATTAAGATTTTTTGGAAATAAGTTTAGTATAATCTCTCTTATCCATAGGAAAGCCTGATAAGTTATGTCAACAAGATTCTGAAAAGAAAAACAAAGAACCCAAAATACAAATTAAAGCCCGTAGCCTGAACTTTTAGCTTACAAGGTGTAGAAAACTTTTACAGTGAATTTCATCACTTGAAGAATTAAATGAACTACTAAGCAAATGTGTCGATAATCTCAAAAAAGTGTTTGTATTGTTTAATTATATTCCCACTAGGGAAGGAGAGTATACAATATACATGAAACTTGGAAATTTGTATATTAGACATTAAAAAGAAAGTTTTCTTGTCCTTCTAGATACTTCTTAACCAAAAATTCATTTATTTTCGCGTTTATATTTTATATTGTTCCTAATTTAAAAAACCTAACACCTGCGGAAAAAAAGTTTATTTTCAAGGAGAGGGGTGGCCGGGGGATAAATTTTCAAGAAAATAAACATCCCTTTTTTAACAAAAAGTTGTGCAGTCACAAAGAAAATCTCGTTCTGTATCAAAACATACATAAATTTTATTTCACGACGCGTTGGCATAAAAAAAAACTAAGATGACGAACTATTTGTTAAATTCATTAAATCCGATCTATTTCTTAAATTGAAATCTATGCTATTGTAGCTAGCATAAAACAAGATATAGGTCAAAAGATATTTGAGTAGTAGACATTATTATAAAACTCACACATTCCTGAAAGTGCAAATGCAGCTAAAAATATGCATTTAATTGATTTTATCAGAAACATGTAAAGTTCCTGTTGAGGGGAATAAACATTCATGTTTTTATCAATTAACAAGATCGTCTGAAAATTCGTCTTTTACAGTTGTTGTTAAGAGATAAAATTACCCCCCTCCCCCCGTAGAAAAAAAAAATTTCAGGTATCAGAGACAATGCTTAAGATCCGGATCCGTTGGATCCGTAAAATTTTAACTACCTGGACCCGGATCCGCAAAAATATGCGGATCCATGAATCCGAATACAAAGGGCAAAATATCAACCAAAAATTAAAATTCTGATTTGTTAAAAATTCCGTAAATCTTAAAAAAATGACCTGGATCCGGATCCGAACCCGCATCAAAATTAAATGGATCCTAGGCACTGATGAAATGTGAAAATAAAATATTAAAATCAAAAATAGCGAAAAGAGTCAAATAAGTAATTTTACCTCAACAGCTTCTGGCATGGCTATAAGCTGTCCTGAAGCATCCCTGCTCTCATACCCGTTACTGTTCAGGGGCCAGAAAGCTTTCCACTCCTCCAGGAGCCCCTTCAGCTTGGGGTCCCCTTCCTGGAAGGTAACCCCTGTCAGTGTAGCTGCCATACCATACGGAGATAGGATAACCTTAAAACATAAACCAGGATTAAAAAAGCTCAAGGTAGTGATGTGCCTTCAGTTGGGTCGTTTCTTGCCTATTTTTATTTCAATGTCAAAATTTGGCATATTGTAAGAAATGCAAATTTTTTCTCAACTTTTTCTCTACTATGTACAAAGTACAACGTATTACCCTGAAAGAAGATAAATGTAAAAAAGATCCAAAAAGTGGTTGTAACAATGTTTTTGTATCCTAGTTTTTAAAAGAATGATTTTGAAAAGTTTAATGATAGCAAGCTTCAACATATTACATTTTAAAAATTTTGGAAATATTATTTTTTTTTAACGATACCGTGAACAGTCTCTTTAAGAGAATAAAAGTTTAGAATTAGATGGCGGATTCAGTTGGGATATTCTTCTCTTTTCAAAAAAAAGTATTAAAAACTTGTTTTTAGAGTAGGAAGCGATTCCCTTTTTTCGCGGATTTTCATTCTTTTCTCGATATACACTTAGATTTTGTTTATATTTTTAAGTACCTGAACAGTTGACGCCATGCTTCCCGCCGCGCTTACATGCGCGTGGGTCAACCTCCTGACCGGGGCGTGCTCGCGCACATCAACTGATGCACACACCGCGCTCTCTCCATGAATAAAGTAGGAGAAGGAGAAGGATAAATGGCTGCTTTTTGGTTTCTCTGATCCGTCAAAGGGTTGAACAAACCATTTTCCGAGTCTAACAAACTCTCTGCTAAGAAGAGATTGTTCGATGAGATTGTTCAGCGCCTTGAAGAGCAGAGTTCGAGCCTCATAGCGGATACCAGACTCCCAGCTCCCAGATACTTCAGTTATCTCCTAAATACATAGAATAAAACTAAGTCTGCAATTTGTAAAGTTAACAAAGCTCTTGAGGTGCGCTGGTTTCTCTCCATACCAGAAAACCCAGAGCTCCCTGCACTGGGACAACTGGTTCTTGTCGTCGTGCCCCGTCTTTGGAGTCTTCACCGGGTTCCCGGCGTTGTCGAACGAATAGTCGACTAAATAATTTAAAATAAGAATTTTCATAAATCAACTGATGAGAATTTAACCTATCCAATGAAAGGAGTTATTTTCATTTCGTTTATTTAAAATATTTCAGTTTTCAAACTATAAAGCTTTTATGAGTCAAAGGCAGTAAAATATCTGTCAAAATGTACAAAACAATGTTGTGGATTTTTATTTGTTATATTTACCGAGATATCTTCGTGGGACCCGTCTCCAGACAGATAGAAGACCTGCATCCAAGCATCTGCAATTGATAACAATTGTTTAAATGTTTATTTCCGGGTCTTTAGATTGTAAATATCTGGTCTAGGGGTCTTTAGATTGTAAATATATATGGTCTAGGGGTCTCTAGAAGGTAAAATTTCTGGTCTAAGGGTTCTAGAAATAGTAAATTTCTGGTCTCGTCTCTAGATACTAAATATCTGGTTTAAGGGGGGTCTCTAGATGGTAAATATCTGGCCTAGGGGTCTCTTAGATTGTAAATATCTGGGCTAGGGGTCTCTTAGATTGCAAATTTCTGGTCTAGGGGTCTCTAAGATAGTAATATCTGGTCTAGGGGTCTCTAGACAGTAAATTACTGGTCTCGGGGTCTCTAGATGGTAAATAACTGGTCAAGGGGTATCTATGATAATAAATACGGTCACTAAATCAGTAAATAATTGGTCTAGGCCTCTAGGGGTATCTAGATATAGCAAATATCGGGTCTAGGGGTCTCTTAAATAATAAAAATCTAGTCTAGGGATCTCCGGATATTTTTTCATCCCAAAAATGTCCTGGGGGGGTGTGTACCTTGCAAAGCTGGAGAGAACAGGATCCTCTAAAGGTTCTGCCACATTACTAGTATTCTCATCTGCTCGGAGTACAACCCATTTTATTCCACACACATCCGTCTTAATGGAGGTAAAAGTAAACAGAAGGAGAATTCATTGAAGAAGCCTTCGAAATCATTTTCGAAGATTGGAGAAGAAGGAGAAAGATGTTTGAAAATGGGGGAGAAATAATTTTCAAAGAAGGGGGGGGGGGATTAGTAAATTAACTAAGTTTTTCGCCTGAATAGCAATTTATCCCTCAAAAATCAAGTATTTCCTTGAATCTTGATTATTTTTACTTATAATGAATTATTTTCGGTATGGAATCAATTATTGTCCATGAACAAACCCTTTAAAGTTTGTTGCGCTCCTTAAAATAAATTTGAGAGAGTGGGGGGGGTACATTTTAAAAACAACAAATGATCATACATCATAACATTAACATTAGAATTAAGAGATAGTTACCCGTAATCATTGGTAATCTTAAAATTGGATAATTTTGATTTAAAATAATTCGAATGTTATCTATAATTTCTTTTTTAATCTAGGTCTTTAAAGTAAGTACAATATACAGGGTCCAGGGGGGGTCCAAAGATCGTTCACTAGGACAGACCCATCGTTCTCTAGGAAATTACCGCAGATATTATGAATTAAATACAACTTTTAGAAACGAAGCCGGCTCAAGCAAAATAAATGAATGAAATTGTTTAAAACTTAATTTGCAAGTAAGGATCAAAATCTAAAGCTGTTAAAAATAAACCGGCGAACAATGTATATTTCAAAGCAAAGAATTGAAAACCGAAAAAAACAATTGTCGTTTGTTTACACAACAAAAGAAAATACATAAACTGGGTTTAAAAAATTATGACAAGTATAGAGTAATATCTTATACTATTCGGACGATTTCTACATGTGAGACATACTAAAAACATGATGAAAAGTATGGTTTGCCCAAATTGATTAAGAAATCACTCACCAAAGAATAAAGATTTGAGTGGCAGTCCTCCAGAGAGGCTCCATTGGTTTGCGAATTTGGATTCGTCATTACGAATTCCGCATTTTTGCTAATTTTCACCAGTCTGCATTTTTCTATTTAATAAAACAAGTTAATTGTTTTCACTAAAACACTGTGCATGAAGATCCAAACATGGCGCTAGGCTGGAAATAACAAGCAGTGAGGATCTAGCCTCTAATTGGTTCAGTGTGTGTCACGTGACCACCAAGGAAGTAAAAATGGCCGAAAGGGAAACTTTTCATTTTCCAGTATCGGGAATATACTTACAGACATTAAAACCCGTAGAATAATCTTGAGTAAATCCGCAAACAGACTCAAAGTCCTCAAAGGGATCGTATAAATAAGTTTTCATTGCATGCAGTCCGATAGATGACATAATCATCAATTTTTTTTTCTAAATAAAATAATAACCCTCATTATATTCCTAAAAGGATTGTATTAAACGATTGCCACAATTATTAAAAGTATAATAGATCGCATCAATTGCAATTTATAAAAATTTAATTCATTGCAGTTAAGAAAAGTTTATGCCGAAATGGTCATAAAAAGAGTAAAAAAATTTCTACTCAATAATTTATACTTGCAAGAATAATTATACCCTTATAATATTTATCGGAACTATAGGACAGGGCACAATGAATTCAGGTAATACATAAAATGTACATGTTAATTGTGCGTAATCCAGCATGGCTATAATTGAATGAATTGAATGTGACATAAATTAATTACCAGTATATATTAAAAATCTTTTTTTTTAATTTTAACTTTTTCATGGGAATTGAAATGCTTCAAATTTACGGAAGAATGGCAATACTATTACCATTATATATAAATGTGTATTGAGAAATATTATACAATTTTGAATTGCAAGAAATGTATAGTTATATACAGCTTCTAATGTTTTAAAGATATATTGGAGGAATTAAATTATTTATTTTTAAGGAAAATGTCTTTGCCACAACTCAATTGTTCTAATTCCTGCCCTACATCTTTGCAACCTATAATGATGTAAACCTTTGATATTTTAAACTTATTGTATTTGATCTAACAGAATTCATAGTTTGAAACATAAAAGGTCTATGGCATTGGATTGCCAAGTCAGTGGCGGCCATAAGGGGGGTTATTGGGGTTATTTACCCCCCCCCCCCTAGAATCCTGGGGGTAAATATCCCCCTAGAATCCTGGGGTAAATACCCCACATTCCCTATTGATTAGTCTGCACTTGTGTAAAGACGACTATTTTCATGATAGTAAAAGTTTTTGCGGCATTTTGCAGATGCCTAAACAGTCAGTAAACTTTTACTTTGGTTATTTTTGTAAAGTTCACTCACACACAACTGGACCTGGTTATAATAAAAAATATATATATTATGAGTTAATTTCCTAAAATACGATTTTTGGGCCCCCCTCCCCCTCCTTTTGTACATATCATATCATATGAAAGTCAACATATATTCTAAATGATTCTAAATTCAACAGAATAGTCAATGTCATTAAAATTAGATGTTTTTTTTAATAGAAAAAAATGGTATGGACAATAAAAAAAACATTTTTACTTATAAATAATGTCATATTTCCAAATTAGATTTCGTTAAGATCTTAACGTACTAAGACGACAAGAAAATTTAACAATGAGTAATGACCATATTTTTTCAAAGTTTTGCAGAGTAGCTTTTCTAAAGATTTAAAAAAGTAACATCTTTTTCCTCTTAGAGTAAAACTATTTTTTTTTATATTACTGCCTTTTTTGTCAATGTTTGCCAAAAAGTTTAGTCAAAATTAAATAAATTCAGTTTTTTACAGATCTTTGTAGTTAATGTAAAATGAAATACTATAATGAAGGGTATAAAACAAGGTGAAAGCTGAAAGGTATATGTAATGAAGCCTTTATTAGATTGAGTTTGTAAATCCCAGAAATGAGTGGAAAATGCAAATCAAACCCAATTAAAACCAATAATTTGATATACATCATGATATTTTTATAGGGGGGGGGGGTAAAAAAATTTCTAGGGGGGGGGTAAAAAAAATTCAGCGCGCTTCGCGCGCCAAATTCAAAATATTTACCCCCCCTACAGAATCCTTATGTCCACCCCTGTGCCAAGTTATAGGGATTAGAGAATCACAGTTTGTGGAATTAGACTCAATTCCTTTACTAATCCGTAAGATTGCAAATGAAACCTGTTGGTGTAAATCTTTGATATTTAAATAGAAATAATTCAGAAAACCAAATAATTTTATTGAATTTATTTTGCATAAATTGACCTAGCTTACCTTGAATCAAATAAACGAATATTAATTTCATTTATCTAAAAACTGCAATTTGGATAAATTCATGTAATATATTATCATACATTAGTTGTTACAGTTAAAGAGAATGCAGGTAGAAGTAATTTTAAGTTCCCTCCAATACAAGACAGGAATAAATTTTATTCACAAAAGTATCCTTTAAAAGAATGAATGAGGTATCTTCTTTTGTGAAAATCATATTTTTCAATATTGCTCAATTGGTAAATTTTTTTTACAGAATTTTACAAAATGGAGATGTGTTATTGATTGTTACTGCTCCTTTCAGAGAAATATCTTGTTCATCTAAAGCAAAAGGGCAACAATATTCCTTTTTTTTACTCAAACATTAAAAGTAAGTATAACCTGACTTTATCAAAAATTGTACATAGATAATACAAACTTAAAACTGTTTTTATTAAACAAACTTTAGACAATAAAATTAATTTTGAGAGTTTTGAGAATTAGGAAAGTAGATAGTTAGAGGGACTGTGAGCATGAAGTTTCAGTTCCTTCCTTTTTAAAAGACTAGCATATCAGATGCATACTCTTTAACATTAATCTTAAGCTTTGTATGCTCAAAACTTCAAACGAGAACTTCCTACTTTTTTCATTTTGTTCATTAATCGTTGTTTTTTTCTATTGTTAAAAAATTGATTTTGTGTGTTCTTAAAATACAAGTAAATTGAACATTTATTCTGTTTGTTTTCTCACTGAACAATTGTTCAGTAAAAACGATTGTTTAAACAATTTTAAATCTTGTGTTCTTGTTTTTTACATTCGTTTTTAAAAAGTGATCATTTTTTGTTGCTCTGCATGATCCATTTTGTTTGCCCATCTTTTGACCCCCTTTTCCTCAAAAAATTTCATTCCTTCTCAATAACTCTGTTCTTAAAAACATACCCCATCTTTAGAACTTACAGATTATTGATAAGAATACAGTTAAAGGAATACTGCTGTAAATCGATCATGCACATCTTTAAATGTTTGGTCACTAAAATATAACAAAATTTCTTTTATTCAAAATTTGAAAATTCATTCAAAAACAATTTATAAAAAGCTGTAAAGTGGGATAAATAATTGAAATAAGGTTTAATTTCGGTCAATCTGCAGAATCTTTTCAAATCTCAAATATTTTCATTTGCAACTCATTCTTAAAGAACACTAGAGAAAAGAAAATGGATTCGAATTTCTAATAAAGCTAATGGATTTGAATTTCTAATATTCAAATAAATAAATATACAATTAGACATAAAATAAAAACTAGAGGAGGTAAACAAATTTCACATGAATTTGACCTTTTCTTTAAATCCTGAAATGTAAAAGTTGTCACAAAAAATATTGAATGAAAATATAGTAGTTTAACGCTAGCTATTTCATGCAAAAGTTTTCAAACTCAGAAAGTTGATAAATAAAACTTAAGTTTTTTAAAAATTACGAGATAAGATTAATTTCTATTTGTTTCTATACTTTATATTAACTATCATTAAGAACTAGTAATGTTTTATTTTTTAATGAATATTTATGATTATTTTTGTTTCTTTTCTGTGTAAAGTGTCATATTCATGATTTTAAATACTTAAATATTTAAAAAACTCTCTCTCTCTCTCTCTTTAAGAGTTATTTCTAGATTGTGATTAAACTAATTTTATTTTCTCAGACAGCTATTCATTGCATTTTATCCATTAGCAACTTTTCTAATCTTCCAAATTGTTTGAAATCTGAAGAATGCCTAGAGTCACACAGTGCATAAATTCCATGGTGTACCTAATCAAGTAGTTAATAAAATTCAAAATCAGTAAAATCTATAAGCACAATTTAAATTGTTGAAATTGTTACCGATTGTTTACAATTAGCATTGTCGCCTCTAATTTCTCCTGAAAAAGAAACATGTAAAAAGACTGAAGGCCTAATTTAAAGTGATTATCTTTTTGTCTCTTTTCATTTGGTAGCCTTAACCCTATCTCTGCTGAGCTGAAAACTTTAGTATGGAATATCCTTAATCCTGATCGTTAATCTGTGTATTCAATGTACACAGTACACAATTATGATTTTCTTCTCAAGAACAGCAAAATTAGAGAACGTTTCCCTCCATCTCTGCCGATTTCAATTTTAAATTTCCCGCTCTCTAATACGCTTCTCTGATTGGTGGAATTTTATACACTTTTCTTGAATACAAACTAAAGATTAGATTAATCTTGAACTTAATAAAAAGAAGATATAAAGCATTATTATCTCAATATCCACAATTCTAAAGTTTTTAGCTCTGGAGTAATTAAACCAGACTACACTGGGGGGAATTAGGAGTAAATAAATATGACAAATTACATACATTTTTGGAAAGCTCTTGAAAAGGCAAATTCAGTTTTGACAAAGAAAAAAATGGTTTTACCCAAGACTATGATTCAACCATAGAATTTTAGATTTACAAAAAAAAATATGTAATTTTTGCAAACTATTTGTGACATTTTGCACAGAATAGTAGTAACTGTAAATTTATACCAAAGTTACATATTTAATGATTATAAAAAACTCAATTTCTGTACTGGTGAATTGTATGGACCTAGTAAGCCTTAGGGTGTTAGAAATGATTTTATTTTGCATTTTAAAACGTCGAATTTTTTTTGTCAAAATAATCGACCTGGTCAAAATAATCTATCGAACCAATCCCACATGATTATACATATCAAAGAGTAAGGAAACGAAGAGGTAAAGCTTACTTCAAATGAACACAACCGACCTCCCTATTAATTAATTAATAGAGAGGTTGGTTGTGTATATCATCATGATACGTTTACGTAACTAACACTGTACATATATGGAGTGATCATATTTCTAGGGGGGATTTTATGGAATTGAGAATTTTTTAGATTGTGGCTCTTTATCTAAAGGAAATTTTTCTAGAGGGTGGGGGGCAAGAAAAGTGTTTATTAAATACTCAGCCATGAAAAACCAACAGTATATTCAATAAGTCAATACATCTGATGTGAAAAAAAGAAATGTATTATCATTTCATTTTTCTTCGAATACAACCAAGCCATGCTTAATTTTTTGGTATTTTGAAAAAACTCGCATTTTTAAAAGAAGAATTGTTCGTGCATTTTTTCACGATGCAATATTTGATCATACTTTTATTAACGTAAACAAACAACTGAACAGCAATGTACTGCAGTATACAATCCTGTGTTTACAATCCATATCTAGTGTCTATCTAATTATCTATACAAATATTTAATTTTCTACATTTAACAACCCCCCAAGAAATACGAGTTTTACAAGTGTACAGTGTAAACATTTAGTAATGTACACAACCGACCTCTCTATTAATTAATTTAAAGGAATGTCGGTTGTGTACATCTGAGGTAAGCTTTACCTCTTTGTTTCCTTTATCTATGATACATATTCTTTGCAGACAGTACTTCATTTGAATAAGAAATATTTGTCTGCTGTACAAAACTACATACATGTGTTCAGAATAGGTTATTGTATACATCTTTTTATCTTTTGTATAATTTCAAGATGTCTTGAACATTTTACCATAACCTTTTCCCGAAAAATTCTAGAACAATTTTTCCGTAAATTGGAATTTTCCGGAACATTTTCCATAAAGAAAATGAAAGAAAATGTCAGATCATTTTCGTATGTAAACCTTAACCCGGAATTTCAAAGGAAACCCTAATCCTGATAGAAAATAAATTTTCATTTTGGAAGACAAAAATAGCTACCTCCCCTTTGAGCAATGATAATTTCAGGACACCAAAGTCTGAAATCTCTGAAAAATACATTATTAAATAATTTTAGACCAATTTATTTAATAGCATATTTTAAATATGATTCTTTCTGAAAGTGTTAAAAAAAAATATACATGTTATTATCCTCCCACATTTCAGTATGCTCCCACATTATCAGTTCATTTAAGTTCATCAGTTCCCTAAAAAATAGATTTTCTATATTTAAAATGATTGTCTACATAACATAATGCAAGTGAACCTCAGTGTATAGAATGGAACGCCTGATTCACAATGGCACCCGTTAAAGGGTAAAGGGAGTGGGTGCAAAATTTTATAAATTCTGTCAGTGTTAGGTTGGGTTGACTTGACACCATGTGATCTCACTCAACCCAACTTTTCTCCCACCCAGCCCCTCAACCCATACCAACATCTGCATAATTGTAAATTCTGTCAGTGTTAGGTTGGGTTGACTTGACACCATGTGACCTCACTTAACCCAACTTTTCTCCCAACCAGCCCCTCAACCCATACCAACATCATCCAAGTTCTCTATTCCAGGAAGAGGTTCACTGTGAATTAGAGAGAAGGAGAAAGTAAAGTTTATGCAACATTCGATCTGGTCCAAAACCTACACTGATAAAAATCCATTTTCAATATATTTCACCAGAAAGGCATAGACTAACGGAGCAACCAAAAATGTAATGCAATGGATAGTACCTTTCAAGGAAAAGTGCTGAAATTTCTATAATAACAACTTGTTAGGGTGAAAAAGAAATTAAATAAAAGATTCATAAATTCAAATGTTAATGTAAATTAAATTAAATTTGATATGTAAAAGTGAATAAAATTGTTTTCCTTCCTCTCTATATGATGTTAACCATTTACCTTTGCTGACTATTCATAATTTAAACCAAAAGTTTGGTCACAGTTAGGTCTTCATAAGACGACATTTCATAAGAATAGATTCTCTGACACTGTTTCATTCATGGAAGTCATGCTAAATTTTTGCCAATTTAAGAACGATGAAAATGTTAAAATTGTAAGATAAATGAATGGTCATAACGTGTAGGGCTAGGCGTCGTTCCTTGGGAACGATATTTCTTTCATGAGAATGAACGGAACTATCAAGAACAATCCCAGCCATCGTTCCAAAAAAAGAACGAAGGTATAGAACACATTCTTAATAATATTGGAATAATTAGTAAATGAATGGTAGGTCGGAAATTGCTTGAAAATAATGTTAAAAATCAGGAAAGTGGGTAGAGTTTCCAGTCATAATTACGCATAACACTTTCTTTCACTTATGGAGGAGCATTACACAAAATTATGTGCTAATTATGTATATGAAAGGCAAACTAGTTTTGTGTATTTAAGACATAGTTACGCGAAATTATGTAATTCAAAACCAATCCGTAATTAGTAAAGTACACATTAATTCTCAGACATTAATATAGCGGGAAAATATGTTTAAGGATATGTACGATACAACCATGTCCAATCTGATTGTATAATTTAAACACTTTTTAAATTGAATTAAAATTCGTTTATGGTGATGTACCAAAAGTAGATGTTAGTTCCTCATTTATTAAAAGTATATTTCGGTCTAGCTTGACTCTTGTGAGTTGGTAAGGATATAATAACCATCAAAATTGATGTTAAAAACCACAAGAAAATAAACAAACAAAAAAGATTATTATCAATTGTTATAATCGTTCAAGTAACTGTAATAATCTGTAATACAAGGATAGAAAGATATGCCAGTCCAAATCCTTTTGCTAAAAAGCTAAAACTAAAATAATAACTCAGAAGCATATCAGTATCCTGCTACCAGAAGCACCAGGACTGCTGCCAGAAGCATCAGGACTCCTACCAAAAGCATCAGTATCCTGCTACCAGAAGCATTTTGACTGCTACCAGAAGCATCAGCACTACTATCTGAAGCATCATGACTCTGCTACCAGTAGCATCATGACTGCTACCAGAAGCATCAAGACTGATACCAGAAGCACCAGAACTGCTACCAGAAGCATCAGTACTACTACCCTGAAGCACCAGGACTGTTACCAGAAGCACCAGGAGTGCTACAAGAAGCATCATGACTGCTACCAGAAGCATCAGCACTACTACCCTGAAGCATCATAACTGCTACCAGAAGCATCAGCACTACTGTCTAAAGCATTATGACTCTGCTACCAGAAGCATCAGCACTACTATCTAAAGTATTATGACTCTGCTACCAGAAGCAACAGGACTGCTACCAGAAGCTTCAGTACTGCTACCCTGAAGCATCAGGATTGTTACCAGAAGCATCAGGACTGCTACCAGAAGCATCAGCACTACTATCTGAAGCATCATGAATCTGCTACCAGAAGCTTCAGGACTGCTACCAGAAGCATCAGGGCTGCTACCAGAAGCGTCAGGGCTGCTACAAGAAGTATCAGGAATGCTACCAGAAGCGTCAGGGCTGCTTCAAGAAGCATCAGGACTGCTACCAGAAGCACCAGGACTGCTACCAGAAGCATCAGGTCTGCTACAAGAAGCATCAGGACTGCTACCAGAAGCTTTAGGACTGCTACCAGAAGCATCAGGACTGTTACCAGAAGCATTAGGACTAATACCCTGAAGCATCAGGACTGCTGCCAGAAGCATCAGTACTGCTAAACTGAAGCATCAGGACTGTTACAAGAAGCATCAGGACTGCTACCCAGAAGCGTCAGGACTGCTACCCAGAAGCATCAGGACTACTATCAGATGCATCATGACTGCTACCAGATGTATCAGGACGGCTACCAGAAGCATCATAACTGCTACCAGATGCATCAGGACGGCTACCAGAAGCATCACAACTGATACCAGATGCATCAGGACGGCTACCAGAAGCATCATGACTGCTGTTTGAAAAAGCAAAGACTCAGGCAAGAAATATATAGACCAGGAACCGCCATATCTCATGCGTCAAATCTGTGTACTGCAGTGGGAGGAGATCAAAACAAAGAATTCAGGGGCAATGCATCTTTTTTAAGGGAAAAGGGCCCAAGGGGTGGAATAAGAATATATTGCTATTGTATTTTCCATATTGACCAGAAAGCCAAAAATCATAAGTATTCGCTCTAACTTGATATATTAACTTGTTTTTTGTTGTATTGTAACATCACATTAGAGCTGTTATAGTCCTTACCTTTCAACTTCTGTGGGGGCACAGGGTACACAATTGTACTGTGTACAGTACACAATTTGCGTATATCTGAGTTGGGCGTTCCTGTTTATAGTTCCTTGGACTCAGGTAAAAGCTGCACCCTTTCTGGAGCTGCTGCATGGGTTCTTTTGAAGACAAAATGATTTTTGTATTTTTTCTAAGCTTTAATTTACAAGCTTAATCACACTTAACAGTAATACGTAAACAAAATATGTTAGAAATATATGTTGCGAACAACGTAGGTACATGATAACTTGCGTGTTGTCAGAAACCTGAACCTTAGTTTTAACATTACGCACATCAAACAAATTATTATAAAGGCACACATTAAAGTTTATATGGACAATACTAAAATAAATTTTAAAATTATCTTACCTTGCTTTTGTTATTTCTGGGAGAAGAAAATTTATGCTATAAAAATTCCAATGACTTATCACATACATATTATGCTGCTTACAAAATCTGCAGAAATTAATGTTACATATTTGACATTTTAGCATATTAAAACATACTTACTCTATTGCACCTTGATAGGTATCTGTAAAAAAGTTGAGTATTGAATATTAAAATTTCAGTGTTGTTGCATTTGCAACTTGCAGGTGTTTAGAAATGAACTGAAGTTCAATTAATTCAAATTTTTTCCTATTGGCGAAGCTGATAATAAAAAGCAGAAAGTGTCTTTGCAAAACTTTAATCCGCCTGGCACAGATGTTAATTCAGAAGTGCTTGGACCAATTGGAGATAAAGTCACTGTCTCTATGACCAGATTCAATTGATAGCGAGACATAGTTAAACCACAAAGACAATAGACATAGTTCAACTAATGTTGAAAATATGTGGTTCAACTACTTCTTCATGGTAATTCATTCAATCTGGTCCCTGGTAGGGTTGGAACGGTTGAAGTTGCTGGTTCAGGTATGTAGGAAAGGACTGGGGCAACAGTGGTTGTTTGTGTTACTGAGGGTTCAGATATATATGAAAGGACCGGGGTAACAGTAGTTGTTTGTGTTACTGAGGGTTCAGATATATATGAAAGGACCGGGGTAACAGTAGTTGTTTGTGTCACCACTGGTGATTTGAAACTTGCATCCTCACAAATAGTCGGATTCAAGCCTCGGTTGAGAATTTGCACAATGGTAGATATTTTTCCAAAAGAACTGTAATATATGATAAATATATAATCATCAATATTCATATTTAGAAGTAGTTTAGCGGTTACACAAGCTAGCCTTAAAATGTTAGGTAAACATTGAAGGAACGTTAGAACAGGACATTTATTGTAAAAGGACTTAATTCAGCACCATGGTCGGCTATTTATCGATATTTAGTTAAAGGAGAACAATGGGATATTTAGCCATCCACCTTTCTTGTCATGTGGAGTAAAAAAGATGTTTAAATGGTAAAAATTAATGCCTTTTGATTAATATTTGTTTAACAAGTTAATAAGGATACAGATTTCATATACATACATTAAATAACATTCAGCACATGTTCAATCACATTCAACACATGTTAGATCAAATTAAACATGTGTTGCATACATACATATATAGTACATACACCTAATGCAGTTTTTTTAAATGAAAGTGTTTGTTGAATGAAATAATAAAAAAAATATTAACCCATCTTTGTTTAAGATTACATCCAGCATGCTCACTCCTTCCCAATTTCTTTGTAATGGCCAGCCATTTGGTCTTTCGTCCATTGTTCCCTGCTTTGGTCCACATAGCCTACAGCCAAATGTAAGAAATATTTCAATTCAGTTAAGTGTAAAACAAATTTTTATCCTGTAGGTATCTTAATATTCATCTAATATTCCTTTTTTTCAGTTTGAATAACCAAAAATCCTAATTCCAATAATTCTCAGCTCTTATTTAGAAGGAAGTTCAAAATAAATACCAGGAAACTGCTGTTGCTACAGCTATAGGTAAGAATGAGTATGGGATTGGAAGTGCATCAAAGTTGAAGGAGCATTCTTGCAGACATTATATAATATAGATACACTTTAAATAGGAGCTTTATACTCAAAGAAAATATATATTGTAAGTTATGATCATAATTCAAAAGATTTTGATATTTTGATAGATGAACAATCAATAATAAAGTTTACATGACAGGCTCATTAGTAGATCCTTCATCAACTGCATCATTTGTCACTTCACTCACAAACACAACAACCCTGAGAAGGAATATATCAAGTAAATAAAGGAAATTATATCTTTCTATTTATTTTTAAATGTTTGACATTTGTATTGTATATTAACGAGGAATTTGAACTAATTTAAACTTTAAAGAAAATTGGACATTAATGGTTTTGAAAGATGTCATCAGATTTGAGTTTATTGATAAATACAAAAATAAGCCCATTTGATTGCTACTAATTTTACTTCTTTCTGTTACGTCTAAAAGAAGAAAATTGTTAAAAGGACTAATACCGAAGAACGTAGTGTCCAACTAATTCAGAAAGATGCAACATTCAACTCGGATCGTAAACAAATCAATTTAATTTCAAACAAATCATTCAGATATTACAAAGAATAGTCATCGATTATTTTTCAACTCAATTGTAAATAGTTGATATTTCATAATATTTTGTATTTTTCATGATCTGAGAGTTACTTTTGAAAACATTTATTCCTGTTACGAGGATTTTTGATAATGAAGACAACATTTTCTTATTTTCCAGGAATGTTCGTAAATCCAGCCCCAGCGAAAATTATTAAAAAAAAATCAAAAATATTTTGAAATATTACTGTTTACAAATGTGTAGAGATGAATGACTTTTTTTTAATTAAATTGATTTGTTTACGATCCGAGTTGAATGTTGCATCTTTCCGAATTTGTATGGACGCTGCGTTCTTCGGTGTGAGTCGTTTTTAACAATTTTCTCCTTATAGACGCAACAGATAGAAGTAAGATTAGTAGTGATCAAAAGCACTTTTTATTGCATTAAGCCTATACCCCCTTTTATTTTTCGCGAACACTCTTTAAGTCTTAATTCTTAGGCACCTCTAGACCTTTTGCCATGGGCCCACTGCACTGGACAGGTTCTTGATTTTCGAAATTGTCTGTTCCATGTTTATTTTTTGAATTAAGGATAGTCTGAGATATTTACTAACTGCTAACAATTAGGCCATTACACATGGTAACTTGTTAACCAGAAGTTATTTGTGAGATTTATAAGCATTGANATATAAAGGGAGACAATAGGGATTAAGAAGGAAGGGCGGTTAAAGAGGGTTGCATGTAAGAATGACCTAACAGTGGGATTCAAAACTTAACATTCACAAAACTATAAATCTTCACCTATAGTCTTCAGGCAGTCGGTTTGGTGGACCTTTTGGCAAAACCAGGCTGTCTGGCCAACCACATTCGTCTCTGTTCTAAAAATTAAAAATTTAGTAGATTCTATTAAGGCTTTAACAGATTCTATAATTTTTTAAGATAGTATCAATGTTTCATGAGATTCTGTCGATGTTTTATAAGATTCTTTAAAAGTTTTATGAGTTTCTATCAAAGCTCTCGGAGATTCAATCAATGTTTATGAAATTCAATCAAAGTTTTATGAGATTCTATCAGTTTTATGAGATTCTCTCAGTGTTTTTTTTAGATTATATCAGTATTTTAACTGATAATATCAGTGTTATATTATATTTTGTTAATTTGTGGTGGAAAATAAAAAATTAGTCTATTCAATTTTAATGTTTTTCATGACATCTTAAAAGTTACAAACCAGGTGAATTGGGCGGTTGTCTGATTTATAAAAAAGTTAAAAATTGATTATGTTTATAAACATACCCTCCAGATTAGTGAACTCTGATTGTCAAACCTGACAATATTCTCTTCTTGATTTCCTGTTAAACTGTGTACAAATCTATCCAGCTCAAAGTAGTACTTGTTGTCAGATCTACAAATTTTACAAATTCTACAAAGATTAAGAGATCCTCCCAGTTAATAGAAGTTGAAATATTATTAAAATGGTATGAAAAATATTTGAGGACATATAAAAGGGGATTTACAGGGTATTCTTAACCTCTGATTAGTTTATCTTATTTCAGAGTTGATCAAAACCCCAATGCTAGAAAACACGACCTTGCATGAGTCATCGCATGATGATGTTAGGTCGTCTTTTCTAACATTCGGATTTCGTCACCTGTTTTTATACTTATGATAGATAGATAGTCAACTAATCAAAAGGTCAAGAATACCCTGTAAATCTCCTTATTATATACTACTTACATTGTGTCCTTATCTGTGGGGAAACTTCAACTTAAAGGCACTGTAGACATAATTAAAAGGAACCCATCATTTCAAAAGTGACATGTTTGCTGGACCCTTTAAACCTTTCTATGGGCATATGTGAGATATCCTTAGTTTCTACTTTTCTCTTTAAAATTTACTTATGGATTTATTTAGCAGAGACAATGAAAGAAATTACAAGAATAGAAAAATGACAAGATTTTTCACGTTTTTGCTCGAATAAAGACAAAAATGGTATTCAGTCGATCAAAATTTTGCTTACAATACCTTTAATATTAAAGATTCAAAAAAAGCTTACATAAATTTTTCTTTGACAAGGTAGACTCTAAACATAACTTTTTTTACAAGGTTTTTGCTGTTCTGTAACCTAAACAAAAATGTATAGAGATCCCTATTCATATGAGGAGATCTTTTTCGTCCAAACCACATTTTCCTCCTTTCTCGTCCGAGCCACCTCAAAATCTTTTCTAAAGTACAAGGCTCTTAGAGCGCTTTGCTTCCCCTATCCTGTAAACGTTTTAGTTTTTAACTATTTTGATGGATTTTTCTTTTCAAATTAGCGTATTTTCAGCCATTTTGGAGTTTATCAGTTACAAACAATCAAACAGACAGACAAGCAAATTATATATATTAATTTCTTTTTTGACCTGATATTGAATTGGAATGGCATATGATTGAGTTGGTATTTGGTATCTTTCATCTCCCAATAGGTTTCAACCTTAGACATTTTAAAATTATTATAAAAATTTTCAAAATAAAGAGACTGTTGGACATAATTTCAAGTTCCCTCCAATTATAGACTAGCATATCAAATTCAATATGCTACCCTTTAATCCTTTAACTGAGGAACAATGAGGAAGATAGTGTCGTTTTTCATAATGAAAAAGTGCTAAATTCTGAAAAATTCCTTCTTTCTTCTTTGCAGCATTAATCCAAAAATCAATTTTCGAATGAATCGCAATTAAAGTAAAAAAATATCACCATTGCTTAAATAAAGGTTTAAAGAAACCCGAATTGTGAATGTGTAAATGGAGGATCACTTGAAATTATATTTGCTGTCGATCCATTTAAAAACGTACAGACCTGATTTGGATTTTTACATCTGGATTGAAGCTCGACATTCAGCAAAGTGATTCCTAGAATTTTTGTTTTTAAAACTGTTATTAAAACTTGTTATTGGTATTTTTATAGCGAAATCTTTTACATTCTTCAAAACAAATGTCAACGATGATTCTGAATTTAAATCGAATGTTATCGAAAATATTTGGGAAATTAGGTTTGAATTTAAAATTGTTTGGTTTCTCTGAATGATTGATCTAATTTCGTTCGTCCATTCTTAGTAATGTTTTTTGACCAACAATAACGTTCACTAAAATTTTGCTCGTTAACAAAAGCGATACCTATCTTTACACCCTTTCATGACTCGTCTCTCTTTAAATAGTCTAGCATTAAAATTCAATAGATTTAAGTTTTTAAAGTAAAAAAGTAAAATCAAAGTTTTAAGTATTTACCTTCGGGGGGAACAATTTCACTCTTCTTATATGGGGGCTGTGCCCTCTAGAATTTATAAAAAATTTATAATTCTATTTTTTTTAATTAATCTTCTTTTGTGTTACCAAGAAATTCTCGTATTTGTCGTCCACTGTGTAGTGCCACCTAACATGTATATTTATGTACAGTGAGACCCGTAAAACTGTACATTGTACATTGTACACAGGTCCATTTGACTAAATAAGCTGTTTTTAAGCCACTTTTAAAAACTATATTTGGAACTAAATCAAATGTTACAAGATATTGCTTAAATGTCGTCTTCCTTTTTCCACAAATTGATGAATTTTGTTTAAAAGAAAATGAATTTATAATAAATAAAGTTATAAAAAATGAACAGTTAAATAATTGTCGCCTTCTTTCTTCTATACTTTTAATATTAAACTAATAAATCTCTTTTCAAACAAATGTTAATTATATATAAAAAAATCCGCAGGGGAATTGGACAACAACAATTAGATTGACTTAATCAAAATATTCTCTTTTAATCATACCTGTAGAATATAGGATCTCTTGCAGAAACTGAAAAAAAAAACATTTTTTAATTTAAATATAAATATGGTGAATAAAAAATAAAATTGAACTCTAATTTTCGACATAACCACAATTCTTTCACAAAACTGTGAATCTTTTTTTTTAATTTTTAAACCTAAAGAAAGGTTTGTGTACTATGATATATTTCTTTAAATCTTGTTAATAACGTCACAAAACAAATAAGTTTCATATTAAAACCTGCACTATCGAGAAGAAGTCCTGCTCTGTCACCACCCTTGCAATCATAACTAAAAATGATGTTCACAAATGAAAACCAATAATCACAGAGTTAAAAATAAAGAAAGTGCTTTTAACTCTAAAAAAAGTGTAAAACATCCATTTTGTTTTTTTCTGTCAACTTCTTGCAGGAGTACTATTACACATATGTGGCCTATGTAATCTTGAATCTTGACATTCAAAGTGTATTTTGCAACAAAAAAGAACAATTTTTTAACGGATTTTCAAGGTTTAAGCTTTAAAATCTCATCACTAAGATGAGATTTTAAAAGCTTAAACCCGAGTAAAACCCAAACTCGGGTTTAGATAGAACCCAAGTCAGGATTGGTTCTGATTCGACCAATGAGAGACTGTTAAGCAAGCTTTCTCTCTGTAGCAGACAGAATGTTGTTAGATCAGCTGTGACAAGGAGATGTAAATTTTGAAAATTCAAACTTTATGTAGATACATTATTTTCAGAGTATGTTTATTTTAAATATTTAATAAAATTTGACACCACAAATAATTCTCGAGATTTTAAATGTACAAATATAAAAGATTTTATGAAATTTACGATCATCAGCTGCTGAAGACTCGAGCCTGAAAGAGGGAAAAACCCTAGATGGTTGGTTTTTACTAAACTCAAGGCAATCCAAAACCCGGCTCTTGACTTGAGCTTTACTTGAGTCTAAGCAGACACAAAGACTGGGTTTTGCTCGGGTTTAAGCTTTTAAAATCTCATCTCAGGAAACTCTTGAATTAGTTGTTGTGCTATATACTGCAAATGTAAACATTTACAACAAATCTTTAAACCAAGGAAGTATGGAATAGAAGGGAGATACAACTGACGCAGCCTGCCCTACCATATGATTATGCATGCTTTGCAGACGGGTCATCCATTTGTATAAGAAATATTCAGAATATTATTGTATACCCGGTAATTGTACATTAGACAAATATTTTTTATTCAAATGAAGTACTGTTTGCAAAGCATGTATACTCTTTGCTTTTAACTCAAAAGGCTCAAATGGGATGAAACTACTCATTCTACTGATGCAGCATGTGCCAATAATAAAATAATCCAAAATGTTGAAAATGAATAAGTTCTTGCCACTCAAATTTGCCAACCCTATATTTTTGCACCCTGATTGATTGGACAGAATTTATAGTTTGAAAAATCGAAGGTCTACAACATTGGGAGGCAAAGATATAAGGATTAGAAAATCAGAGTTTTTGGCAAGAACTTGGTTCCTTGCCTCATTAAATCATGTCCATAGTTATGATGATCCATACAATAATCTCCATATTTTTCACAGCTGTCTCCAGCTTCCACTAGTTTACTAGAAAACTACATTAAAGGGATTGATCCGATATTTTGTTGAGTATAACCATGACCACATAAAGAGAATGTAATGTTTATTCGACATTAAAGGGGCAACATTCTTACCTATATAGCAGCTTCGCTAGTTTGGATTTTACGTGAAAAGCTAATTTCATGTTTGACTTTCAGATATTCAAAATATATAGATTTTCCTATAAAAACCAGGGCAATGCCAGGTTGTACATTTCAAATTATTTATAAAAATATTGTTGACTGAATAGTCAGTTTAGTAAAATAAAAGAGATCGATAAGGATATTTCTTAACATTTATTTAAAGTAAAATGAAAAATGAAAAACGAAAAATGTTTTTAAATTTTTTTTCCAATAAGGATTCAAATTGGTTGGTTAAATAATAAAAAAGGAGTTATTGACGAATATGAGTGGTTGTAGAGCTTCATGTTGGTGGTGCAGATCAACAGGAACTGGAACAACAGGTTTCCGCTCACCCCAGGCTTCGGATTAGGGGGGAGAGTTCTCAGGTTTATCATTTTCGGGTTTGAGGGATTACATGTCTCCTCTATGTTGACATGATAATTTTGAAACTCTTGGAACATCATTGGGCTGGATGTAAGCATCGCCTGTTGCTAGCTGAGTATCTGTATCACCATCATGAAGGAGCCAGGTTGCTCCCTGAGACGGGCTGTTAACATCTCAACTGTTTCAATCTGACTAAGGACCTGTAGGTCGCGTCGAAAGAAGGGGGGGTAGGAAGGAACGTGGGCTGAATGTGTTCAACTGCAAACTCCAGAAAAGGATTTATATATCTCGAAATATACAGCGGCATTCAAACCACACAGAATCGTCTTCTTTATATTTCGAATTTGTTTTAACAAATATATATTTTGCATATCTATATAGAAATTCTTTTCTGTTACATATATATATTTATATATATATATATATAAATATATATAACATATATACACAGGGATTTCAAGCCTCACCAACTGCAAAAATCAAAAACTGATTAATTGAGTGATGGCTGAGTCCTAATAGGACGAAACACTGTATCTATGGATATATATGCTCGTTTAGTCCGCTGAACTTAAGCACTATGCGGTAATGAATAGGTGCTCTAATTAGCCCAGCAGGTTAGTTAGTATGTTATTTATATATGTTATATATGTTTTTTTTATAGATCTTAGATGCATTCTCAACTTTATTAGTGATACCTGTCACAACTTTGTTCGTATTCTTCAATTCTGTCACCTTTAAACAAAATTATAATTTTTAACATTCTTGATATTTGCTATTTATAACGTAAATTTTGGCTTACAAACATACTTTAAAGATTTTTAAAGTAATTTAAGGGACCTTCAATTATAAGCTAGGGGCACACAAGGGTAGGGTTGTTAATCATTGGTCTCGTTTTCAGAAAAAACGATCATTTTTAAAACGACCCACTCGTTTTGAACTTTTAGAAAACGAGTAGCGATCGTTTTTGAAAACGATCATTTTTATTAAAACGATTTGCGACCATTTTTATACGATTGTTTTTTTAAAAAAAACGATCGTTTTTGAAATTTTTTTTATTGACAATTATGTTAACGATTGTTAACGAAGGGTCGTCGTTAACGATCGTTAACGAAGGGTCGTTAACAAAAGGTTGTTGTTAACGAAGGTTTGTCATTAACGATCCTTAACAAAACGACAAACTTTATCAAAACGGTTGTTTTTGGAAAAAAAGTACATGCAACTTTATTGAATGTCGTCTTACATGAAGTTTAACAGTTGTGGGGGAGTTAAAACTTGATATTTTCTTAAAAACTACTCAATGATAAGTACAGATGCCCTTCAAATCAGTTTCCTCTTTTCGTTAACGATCGTTAATGAAGGGGTTGTCCTTAACGATCGTTAACAAAACGACGAATTTTATAAAAACAATCGTTTTGAAAAACGAGCGCTTTGAAAAACGATCGTTTTAAAAACGACCATTTTTAAAAAACTAACTAACTAAAAAAACGATCATTTCGTTTTCGATTTTTCGTTGTCATTATCATAATGAAACGATCGTTTTTCTGACAAATGAAAACGTTTACATCCCTACACAAGGGTTATCTAATCAATCATGTGGGTGAAATTTTTTTTCTGGCTTTCAAAAGTGTTTAGTTCTAAATAGATTCTAGTACAATAGATAGCAGCGTAGAATTTGTTCACTCTCAGTACAGCTGTATTCTTACGTCACAAGTGTCAACTTAGTTTTTGTGTCCGAAAAAATTATTAATAATAAAGATATTTTTAAATAAAGTGCTTATCTTACAGTAAAATAAGTGCAATTTTATGTGTTCTTTATTTTCTTTTTTACTCTATATTATTTAATCTTGGAAAATATCTCAACTTATGCGAGAAATTTTGTGCTCCATGTTATATTTGCCACTTGTGACGTCGTGTATAATTATTCCATTTCATTGTTGTCTCTTAAAACTAGAAGAATCTTATAATTCTGTAAAATTTGGGTTTATACATATTTTTCAGTGTTGTGAATCCTTTATGCATCTCTTTATATGGAATGTCAATTGAGCATACATTTAAGTTCTACTGTATTCCTCCTTGTAAAAATGGTTAATTACAAGAACATCCCTTTTTTCAAAATTAGCCATTATATGATTGAAAGATGTATGAAAGAATAATAAGAAGAAAGAGAAGAAGAAATATAAATATATAAAATATATTCTACTGTCTCTTGAAAAGTTAGATATTTAAACTTACGTGTGTCCTGAGATAGAGTACAAGTAGGCTTATTACTGAAAATAAACTCTTTTTAAAACCAAATTTGGAAAGTGTTTGATCGTTAAACATTTGCTTGTGACAGCTCAGTTTCATATTTAGCTAAGTATAAATTGCAAGGCAATTCTAACATATGGCAAGTGTAATTTATGGCATTTGTCACTTATGGCAAACATATAATTGCAAGCGTGATTATGGCAAAAAATTGTATAGTAAACATATTATTAAACTCGACGTATCATCTGGAGAAGGAACAGCAACAAAACAGTGTAAAAAAAGTCATTCCTGAGCAGAGAAGGATTTAGAATGGTATTGTTTACTGATTGATGTTTATTTATGTTCCTTAAACAAGTTCTTTAGAAGCTTGAAAATATGTTCCTATTCCCCTACCTTTCCTATTTCCTCCTGACTTTTCCTCCCCCCTCTTTTCCTATCCCCCTACCTTTCCTTTTTCCTATCCCCCTTTTCCTATCCTCCCTCACCTATATCTATTCCCCCACCTTTTCCTATCCCCCTACCTTTCCTTTTTCCGATACCCCCCACCTATTTCTGTCCCCCCCTACCTTTTCCTATCCCCCATACTTTTCCTACTTTTTTCTTTTTCATTACTTTTCTTATTCCCGCCTACTTTTTTTTATCCCCGGACTTTTTCATTAGGTTAATTATCAGAATAAATAGTTTGCCTACTAAACATTAAGTTAATTATCAGAATAAATAGTTTACCTACTAAACATTAAGTTAATTATCAGAATACATAGTGTACCTACTAAACATTAAGTTAATTATCAGAATAAATAGTTTGCCTGCTAAACATTAAGTAAATTTTTAGAATAGATAGTGTGCCTACTAAACATTAAGTTAATTATCAGAATACGTACATAGTTTACCTACTAAACATTAAGTAAATTATCAGAATAAATAGTGTACCTACTAAACATTAAGTTAATTATCAGAATAAATAGTTTACCTACTAAATTTATGCAGTTGATCTGTGGGATCTGTTTCTTTTGTTATTGAATAAAATGTTCTGAAAAAGACGCAAGTACGAATTACGGTGGACCCATCCTTTGTCACTTACATGTACAAAACGCATTTGAACTGCTGGTATTTGAACTATGATCATTTGAACTATTAATTGTTTAAACTAATTGTTTATTTTTACTACTGAAAATGACGTCATTTCCTGTAATTCATTCAACATATTATTTCCTCCTTTGCACAATACTATTTTTTTAATAAAAAATTCAAAAATCATCCCATAAAAGTTATGGTCAAAAGAATATTTCACATGGACATAAAAATAGTTCAAATGAACAAAAAAATGCATCTTTTTATTCATTTGAACTATTTTTTGTTTATTTGAACTATTTTTTTGCCCACTTGAACTATATATATCAATTTATTTGGACTTTTTTGGTTAATTTGAATTATTTTTTAATAGTTCAAATGAACAATATTTCAAATGAACACTAGTTAAAATGAACAATAGTTCAAATAAACATGAAATGGTTAAAATGAGCACAGGATGTTATCGTTTGAACTACTGCACGTGCAATAGTTGTAACGACCAATAGTTCAAAAAATCAATAATTCAAACAACAGTAGTTTAAGCTGAATAACATCCTAATTACGTGTATTTTTATTGAATAATAAAAAACATTAAAATATTATTTAAAAAATGGAAAAATTATTCTTTCAAAAATCTATATATATTTTAGTATGTTCAGAATTTGAAACTTTTATGTGGAGTATCGTTAATGTTAATCGTTTGATATCAATATCCAATGTGAGCACTTTTAAATTTGAGGATACATTCGTATTCCCTTAATTAAGGTTGTCCCTGCAGGGCATGATCATCACGGGATATCGTAGAGAAATAAATCCCAAGATTCACAACATGAAAGTTCAAACTTCAGATTTTATTTGGTTTGGTCAGGATTTGAGTTTTTGCCACAAACTCTGATTTTACAATTCCTATAACTTTGCAACCCGTTTTCCAAGACCTTAGATATTTCAAACTATTAATTCTGATAGATCAAATCGTCTAAGTTTAAAATATCAAAGGTTTACACCATAAGGTTGCAAAGATAAAGGGGTTAGAAAATAAATGTGAGTTTGTGGCATGAAAACTCAATTCCTTTCGATACTTAAAAAAATTATGCTTTTTAAACTCAAATTATCTGGAATAAAATCTTACTCAAACTCCTGTTGTCTGTTTTCCAAGTTTAATGGTGTAATGGGTGGAAGTCCCTCTGTGTCTCTTTCTGTGAAATATCTGAAATTTACAAATTAAGGGACTGTAAACATAATTAGAAATTAAAGGGACTGTAAACATAATTAGAAATTAAAGGGACTGTAAACATAATTAGAAATTAAAGGGACTGTAAACATAATTAGAAATCAGGAATTAAATTTTATATCGTCAGTCATGGATATTTCTCTTCAGTCACAGAGGAACATTCATAATTCACAAAAAAAAAATTTATTTTAGAATATGCAAAAAAATAATTCCTTAATATAATATGTTTTTCCTTTTTAACGATATTTCAAGACGTTATTTAGGTTTTAATTGCTGGTACAGCTTTGTGACCTGGTAGCTCCTCTAGTTTTGATTAAATACAAGTATGAAAAAAGCTAATTATATATTTGAAATTCGAAACTTTTTGTTCTTCTGAATAGCACTAGAATAAGAGGAGTTACATGATTAAAAAAAGTAAGATTTCAATCTTACTTGCAATCTACTTTACTAGGCTTTCAGGGCGCCCATCTTCAAAAAATCAAACAATTTTGGAGACAACTTTTTGCAATTTTGAGCATCCACAAACCTTTACTGGGGTCATGAGAGTTCTCATTTAAAATTTGGGCACGATCGGTTCAGCCGTTTTGACGAATATCAGTTACAAACAAACAGATAAGCAAAGTATACATATATGATGGTTAACCCTATTCAGACTGACGGACGTCTAATTTATCCAAAATAGTCTGGGGTGTGAGGGTCCCAGGGACCCCCCCTCTTCTTTTTTCCTTATAGTGATTCATATTTATATCATTTGATAGACTTTTGGAAAGTCCTTTGACTATAATTTAATAATCTGCAAAAAAGTTTGCAAATTTTCAAAGTTTAAAATATTTATTGCAATTTCAAGTTTTTAAGAAAAAAATGCATGATAAATTATACATTTTTGAAAAACTTTTACTCCGGCAAATTCAAATATGCAAAAATATTTACAAACTTTAAAAAAAAAATAAAATTTTATTCAAGGAAATGTACAAATTCTCTTTAAAGGTATCTGTGCAAAAACTATGCAAAATTTATTCGCAAAAATTGTGCAATCTGCTTCCTTTTGTTTTAGGCTTTCTGTAGAGCTATAAAATCAAAATGACCGGTTACGTATAAATATAGATTTAGTCGGTTTAAGGTAAAATAAGGCATTCAGGCAGTATGCCAAATGAATCAGGCAGTAAATAAAAAACACAGTTTTAAGCCTAAAGTGAAGTTCATGTGTTATTGTCAAAAAAAAATACTTTTTGAGTTATCTCCAATAACCTTCAAAGAGGGTCCCAAGGACCCCCCCCCCCCCCGCCGGAATAGGGTTAATGTAATATTTATATTGAATCGAACCTGTATATAAAAAGTCGGTGCATGTAGAAAAAATGTTCATTTTGTCTAGGCCTGGGGGCCCAACTAGGCCCAAAGTTTTGTCGATGAAAGGTGTCATGAAACGTATGCAAGCTTTCATCTTCCCTGTACAATAGTATTTAGTAATTCATCTTAAAGGGACTATAAGCGTAATTTTAAGTGACCCTCTTTTAAAAGATGAGAATGTCTGATTTAAAACTGATTTTGTCTTTGATCTCCAAATATGACTTGAGCAATTCTTGGTTATATGAAATAATGTAGAAAAACAACGATATCTTTCACAGTTTAGATATGTTTAAAGGGAGTAAAAGGCTAGACATACAGTGAAACCCTTAATAACGAATGTATCGGAAGAATTTATCAAATGTCGTCTTGGACAATTTTTCAATGAGTTTTATACTATATTACGTAAATTTCAGTATTTGCGAAAATAGATAAATAGCCATGAATATGCGGGAACAGTTTTAAAGAGTTCCATATAATCATTTAATTAAAAAACTAAATATCTGCAACATTCCATTATCAGAAAGTGAAGAATACGACATTTGATGAATTCTTTCGATGTATTCGATATTAAGGGTTGAGCTGAAAGTGTAGTATTGTAGAGAAACGCTTTAGGTTTCATTTAATACCATTGAGACATTTTTTACGATGTGCAATATTTTAACAAGAGCGTAAAGTCGTTTGTAATATTTCAACAGATGTTTTAGTCATAAGAAGAACCGTTATTTTACAAATCTTAAATAACATGGATAAAACATAGAACATAAGAAGAACCGTTATTTTACAAATCTTAAATAACATGGATAAACAATTACTATTCTACAAACTAGTAACATGTATACAAACAGGTTCAGAAAAAAAATATTTTTTAAAATTCATTTTAAAATCTCGCAGGTTTTAACAAATTCTTTCAGCTATTGGGTCGCTTGTTGGAGCTACAGGGTGTCCCACATCATATTAGATCGTTTATGGCTCTAAATTAAGATTTATGGGACAAATCAGAAAATTTAAAAAGAATGAATTATTACAAAAACATGTACAAGGCTTATTTCAAACTTTTCTTGCAGAAAATACCAGGTTTTTTGAGTATTATGTGAGTATTTTGGCGTTGAAGCTTGGAGATAATCAAATATGATATGGGACGCTCTGTAGATTTTCTTTATTTTTATTGTGAAGACGACTTTCGAAGAAATCTGCAAATAAAGTAATAGAAACAGCGAAGGAAATTATGATAATGAGATAGTTGATTCTACGGTTCTACTATGGATTTCATCGATAATTTCTTTTAAGAAATATGTTCCTGAACAGCAATTTAGTCTATAAGATAATTTTATTTAATTGAAATATTTTGTTATTATTACTAACATTAGGTGGAAAAAATAATCAAAACAGCCAAGAGCTATTTTCCACCTAATTGCTTTATACTTGTACTGTTAATATAATCATCAATTTTGTGATTGTAAACTCTATCTGTATACAGATACATTCATTTTAGCAATAAACGTTATCTTATCTTATCTTATCTTATCTTGTTTTGTTCCGGTTATTAATTAAATAATGGTAAAAATGTGTCTTCTGTTAACTAAAACAACTGGAAACATATTACAAACACCGTAAACATGTCTCATTGGTAACAAATGAATCCTAATAACTATTTAAAAAACTGTTATTTTGATCAAGAAGGTTCAAGCCTTTTAAGATTTAATTTTGTCCCGAGCTTTAGCGAGGGACAAAATATTATCTAAAAAGGCGAGAACCTTCAACTTCAAGATATAGAGAAAATTTAAGTCCAAAAACTTTTTAACACGCTGTGCCAAAATAATAGTGTTATAGGTAATTTATAAAACGTTTGTGTAATTGTATTATTTCTAGATCAATTAAGCTTTGAAACAAAGCAGAAGTCAAAATATAAAGTTGATCTTAATTTTATTTTCACTTCAATTGATAAAAAATGTTTTGAAAATATCCTAAATTTTTTGGAGAAAATCCGAGAACCGTTAAAACTTTATGACACACGTGCTATAATGTCCAGCTAATTTAACATAATGGTACGACGATTACTTGCACGTTCATTATGAAATTCGCGATGAAGTGAGTAAGAATGATAAAGTACACAATAGTTTCATAAAGTTTTTTTCTACAATACGGCACTTCTAGCTCAACTACCATGTCTAGCCGGTCTCTCCCTTTAAGGCCTCAAAGGTACGATTGTATATGCATGGAAGGTAACTTGTTATTACGCTTTAATTCCCATTATAAAAAAAACTAATTTAAGAACTAAAAGATTGCCTGAAGTAATCCATTTTGCTTTCGGGATCTAGGAGAAATAAATTATTAGGTTGAAAATATGCATTGTGCGAAAATCGTGGTATAGAGATTAGGCATTGTATTTTAGACTTTATCTTACATACTTTTTTTATAATTTTTCTTTAAACTTTTTTTACACTTTTGAAAAAAATCTTCCTTTTACCTTTTACTCTAGATGGGGTTTTAGGTAATTTCTCCCAGGGTGTTTCTCCATGTTGGTAGGCTAATATATTTATTCATTTATTTACTTAAATAGACTTATGGCGCCTTTTAAGTTAAATACGAGAATTTAATGAACATCATTCAAATGTCTTCAGGTGCGGTGCTCGATTAGCGTATTTAAGCTGCAGCGCTCAGTTAAACTCTAGCATAGGAAGACGACTTCTAAACTCAAATTATTAATTTAAATAGTCCTAAAACATTAGAGACACCAATTGTGCAGTGTAAACAGACCCAATTATCTTAAAAGGTGATTTAGTAAGTTACTGTTAATACAATTTGCTCTGTAACAATATAAAATACACTAATTTTTGGTTTAAATTCCTACTCTACTTTTTTTGATGTTTTCATTGTATCATAATTTTCCACATTTTAAATGAGCAAATTGTCTCTAACCTCTGAATCCAGTTCCCTTTTTGATATTTACAGTTTTGAGAGCTGGAAATATTTCAGCCATGTCTACATGCTCAGAGTCAGGTCTAAAACATAGCTTTGTGCAGATATTATTGCTAGAAACATGATTCAAAGGACTTAAGGTCTAGTCTTGGGCTTCCAGTGAACAAAGAACTTTGTTTCGCGAAAATTTGGTGTTATTTGCAAAAAATTTCACATTTTTTCGCATTTCATTCGCTCGCAAAAAATATGAAAATTTTCGTCTTTTTTTGCAAAATTTTGCTTCAATCTGTTTTGCGAACAAATGCTAAAATTTCGCGAAAAATTAATGCGCAATTTTCGTGATATATTTTTGGCGAAAATTTGTTTCGCGAAATTTTGCTTCGTTTTCTCTTTATTTATTTGTTTGCGAAATAGGAACGAAAATTACGTTTCGTTCGCTGCAAACCCTAGTCCTGTCAAAAAACAGGGATTTTGTAAATCTAATGCATGTGAAAACCTTAAATATTTCAAACTATTTAATCTAATAGAATTCCTAGTTCATCAAAGATATTCAGCATCGGGTTGCAAAGAGAAAGGAATTATTAAAGTAGAACTCAGTTCCATTATTCATTTATATATTTGTTTCAATATTTTCTTTATCGATTTATAAAATATAATAGTATTCTATCAAATATAAAATATAATAGTATTCTATCAAATAATATTATCGACAATCAAATGTGAATAAAAATACATCTGGTTTCACATAAATTACTAATTATTATTAAAAATTAGGAATAAAATGGAAATTGGGCATATCAAACTTTTTTTCTTATTTTTAAAGTTCAGTTATCCAATAATATCTATCATTTATTTCCAATTGTGGTGAAAATATTATGAATATTTTAAATTTCAAGATGCTGCAACTGTTTGATTAGTTAGAGGAATTAACAATCAAACAAATTAAATCAGACTTCTAGGGATATTCTGTACTTGCGTGCTTCAAATTCAAAATGACTATACTAATTCAAAAATTAATCCTGGGTTTACGATCTGCAATGATTCAACTATTTAAGATACTCACATTTAGGGATGTAAACGTTTTCATTTTTTCGAAAAACGATCGTGTCGTTATGAAAACGACGACGAAAAATCGAAAACGAAACGATCGTTTTTTAAAAGTTCGTTTTTTAAAAATGGTCGTTTTCAAAACAATCGTTTTAATAAAAATCGTCGTTTCGTTAACGATCGTTAACAAAGAGAGGAAACCGAACTGAAGGGCATCTGTACTTATCCCCCACAACTTCATGTAAGACGACATTCAATAAAGTTGCATCTAATTTTTTTCTTCAAAAGCGATCGTTTTTCCAAAAACGACCGTTATTATAAAGTTCGTCGTTTCGTTAACGATCGTTAACGACAACCCTTCGTTAACGATAGTTAACGACGACCCTTCGTTAACGATCTTTAACGTGATTGTCAATAAGAAATTTTTTTTAAAACAATCAAAAGCGATCGCTTTCAAAAAACAATTGTAAAAAACCGGTCGCAAATCGTTTTTTAAAAATCGATTGTTTTCAAAAACGATCATAGCTGTATTATGTGTTAAAGTTGTACTATAGTATCATGGCTCAGTACAACTGATTAGTTAATTAATCAGTTGTTGGAATTTCTAACCAAAGACTTTAATTTGACTCACCTCATATACATAGCATTGAGAAATGCAGCTTTAACCAGTCTTTCGTTAACCTAAACAAGGTTGTCTTTAATACACATCTATCTATCTATCTATCTATCTATCTATCTATCTATCTATCTATATCTATCTATCTATCTATATATCTATCTATCTATCTATCTATCTATCTATCTATCTATCTATCTATCTATCTATCTATCTATCTATCTATCTATCTATCTATCTATCTATCAATGGGAAAATTTAATACAATTACCTTCAATTTCTCATTTTCCAGTATTTTTGTTAAAAGTTCTTGAAAAATTGAAATGAATGTGTCTAAATCATTTTCAACTTTTGTAGAATTTTCCAGACTAGCAAAGAGCTTGACGACTTGATCAAAAGAATCTTTGTAATCTTCATGAAAAGTTCCGCACCCCTGAAACAAAATATACTATTTCATGCAAGGAATAGCAAGGAAAGTGAATTGCTGTTGCATATATTCTGCGTACATATTGAAACCAGTTATCTCAGGGCTGAATTTGTAAACAAGAATAAAGATATCAGTGTTCGTTTAGTATCCGAGGAGGTTAAAAGCATTAAATTTTGATAATTTTGATAATTCACATAATAGTTTCCTATCAACAGAATAGTTCATTGATTTTTTATGTGAAAGATGGATACCATGTCAGGCTTCGACATCCGTCTTTTACATTACCGCCAGAGACAGTACACTGCAGTACAAAAGCGTACACCTCTGAAATAACTTTCCTTGCATTATAATCCTGATTTCATGAATATTTTCAAATGCACTCAATCATCTGCGATTACCTTAGCTAAATAAATCATTTCTACATATATGTTAATGTAAGATTTAAAATTCAATTTAAACCAAAATTTAACAAAACAAAGTAATATTAAAGGGACTGTAAGCTTAATTTCAAGTGACCCTCCATGCAAAAATGGCAATGTACAATTTACAACGGTATCCTTGAAAACTTTTTCTGATCAAGTATGAATTAGATATTAATGTATTGGTTTCTTAAAACTGTTTATTTACATTTGCGGGTTAATTATCTGCGAAAGTGACTTGTGCATATTCTTGTTTATAAGAAGCAACAGAGAAACTCACAGAAATAAACACTTTCCGAGTCAGAAAACATGGTTGTCATTGTAAATCGAACATTGTCACCTTTGCATGGGGTTCATTTGAAATTACGCATACAGTCCCTTTAATATTTTTATTTTCTAAATCTGAATATTTACCTCTTTACAAGGCAATTTTTCAATTGTTTTCCAGAAACTCTGCACAATCTTTTCCTCCGGAGTAAGAGAAACTGCGGATTTACTGCGGAAAACTGAAAATCCAATTTATAGGTTTTTTTTGCAAGAGAAACGTATTATAAAGAACTTAACTTACAATTGTTTTTCTTCTTTTTTGCTCCTAAATTAACAAAATTAGTTTTTATTTATCAATATTTAGTTTTCGATTTCAACTCACCAATTGCCAGCAGTTTAGGCTCATTCTTAGGGCTCATGATTGCAGTTATCTTTTTTCCTTTCGGTCCTAATTGGTCAGACTCATTCTTAGGTGTTTTCCCTTTCGATCCTAATTGTTTATGCTCATTTTTAGAGTTTTTCTCTTTCGGTCCTAATTGTTTAGGGTCATTGTTAGGGGTTTTCACTTTCAGTCCATGTTTAGGCTCATTCTTTAGGGTTTTCCCTTTTGGTCCTAATTGTTTAAGCTCATTTTTAGGATTTTTCCCTTTTAGTCCTAATTGTTTAGACTCATTCTTTGGGGTTTTTCCTATCGGTCCTAATAGTTTATGCTCATTCTTAAGGTTTTCCCCTTTCAGTCCTAATTGTTTAGGCTCATTCTTAGGGGTTTTCACTTTCATTCCTTGTTTAGACTCATTCTTGAAGTTTTTCTTTTTCGGTCCTAAATGTTTAGGCCCATTCTTAGTGTTTTTCTCTTTCAGTCCTAAATGTTTAGGCTCATTCTTAGTGTTTTTCTCTTTCGGTCCTAAATGTTTAGGCTCACTCTTAGAGTTTTTCTCTTTCGGTCCTAAATGTTTAGACTCCTTCTTAGTGTTTTTCTTTTTCGGTCCTAAATGTTTAGGCTCATTCTTAGAGTTTTTCACTTTCGGTCCTAAATGTTTAGGCTCATTCTTAGTGTTTTTATCTTTCGGTCCTAAATGTTTAGGCTCATTCTTAGTGTTTTTCTCTTTCGGTCCCAAATGTTTAGGCTCCTTCTTAGTGCTTTTCTCTTTCGGTCCTAAATGTTTAGGCTCATTCTTTGTGTTTTTCTCTTTCGGCACATTCTTAGGTCTCATGATTGCAGGCATGTTTTTCCCTTTCGGCTCTAATTGTTGACCAGTTTCATTGGATTCTAAAAAAACTTAACTTAGTTCTTTTTTACTCTAAAAGTTAAAAAAAAAATTATTTTCAACTTTTAAAATTTAAAATTACAGTGTAAGAAAAGTTTTTTTTAAAATATTAATTTTACATTTACGACTATTGTTTAATAGCAGTATCTAATTTCTAAAAAATCTTGTTTTATTTGCATGTGAGTGAAATATCTAAATTTTAATGTCTTACTTAGCGCTGCAACTATGAGAACCAGAGCTAAAATAGAAATCATTAAAAAAATAATAAAATAAATTTTATTTTGTTCTTGGATTGGATCCAGCTTACCTTGAAACACAAATACAATAATCAATTTCATTTCTCTAAAATATTACAATTCTAACATAGATTTTATGAAACTATTGTGTACTAATCATTCTTACTCACTTCATGGTGAATTTTATTATTAACGTGCTATAAAGTAATCATCGTGCTTTAAAGTTTTTGGACTTATTTCTCTGTACCTCGAAGGTTTGATAAAGAAAAAAATTAATTTCCAAAAAATTTTATATCACTGCGAACCAAAATAATAATGCGAAAAATGAACTGAAAAGGGTTAATTTAGACTCACTTGGTAGATAAACTGGCCGTTTTCTAAGATAAAAATTACTTAATCTTATAATAATTTTGAATATTACTTTATATGAATTAAACACCCTGAAATTATTTCAAGTTTTCATTATTAATATAATTACTTTTCAAATACTATTTAACTGCTTGGCAAACAGAATTTTGAGATTTTGATAGAAAACTAAATAAAGAATATTTTTTGAACATTTCAGAAAATTTCTCAAGATGAATCATGACAACATTATTTGAGTGTTCTGAAGTTAAGAACTGTTTTGTTGTGAATCTCGAGACCTATAGCAATGGAATCTATTTTATGAAGTCCTACAAATCAAATTTATCACTCTTCTATATCCCTTGGTGGTCATGCGCTGCAGGGATAAATTTAAATTAAAGGGTCCAGCCTTTATCCTCAAAATTGACCACACTGAATATCGAGATCAAGTATTTAATATTAACGATACTCTGCTCCAATGTTCCAACTCTTGTTGATTTTTTTTACGTCAAATCTTTGAGCGAAGTCAAATATGATATGAAACGGTGTGTATAAAAACTTATCTGATTACTAAAATAATCTGAAAACTAAAATTGATTTTAATTGGTTGTGTACTTTGTTTAAACTCTCATTAAGAACTAGTAATGTTTTCTTTTTTAATGAATATTTATGATTATTGTTTCTTTTCTGTGTGAAGTGTCATATTCATGATTTTAAATACGTCTTTTATAGAGAGAGGTAAAAATATATTTGTAAAAAACAAGATTATAGAGAAAGGATGGGGGGGGGGGTTGTGAAAAAGACAGATAGAAAAGAAAAAATTCCTTGTGACGCAACTTTGTGACCTCGTAGCTTTTTTAGTCTTTACGAAAAGTGCGAGATAGGAAAATGTATTCGGTTGAAATCTAATACATTTATTCTTTTCAATAATAGGAGTTCTAATTGAAAGTTTTGATTTTATTCTTGAAAACAGTTTACTTTAGTTTGACGTGAAAAATGAAAAGCCTTGAAAAAGTTTGTTGTTAGTTTGGCTTCCAGCCCATTTAATATAACTGTTTCAGAATGCATTAAGTTTCTTTAAATAATTGAAGTTGTTTAATTAATTTTCTTCCCTACAAATTTCAAAAGAAATTGATTTGCATGGTACAAAATTAAATCTTCAAATCTCTTAATCTTGGATCCCGTGAACCTTTAACAATTCAAACTTCATATATGAATTTAGCGAGAGCAAAAAGTACAAATTTGTAACATGAAAGGTCTATATAGTATATACGCAGTACGCAATCAGGTTGAAAAATAAAGAAATTATAAATTTATTGATTTTGAGACGAGTAATTTTTGTTCTTTTTGATATTCAATTTTTTTTTTTAATATTATATATATATACACATAACCAATTTATTATTCAATAAAAAAATGAAACATCAAGATAAATTTAATCAAGGGAACAAGACATGCATTTACCCTGAAAGGAATTAAGTTTTTGCCTCTTCCTCGAATTTATTAATCCATATATTTTTGCAACTGGATGATGTAAAACTTTGATGTTTTAAACTTAGTTTAATTTTCGTTCGTTTTCTCACTGAACGATCTTTCAAAATTAAGAAAGAGCATTATTTCAAAGTTTAATCGAAAAAACAATTGATCGCTTTATCAAAATCTCGTGGAAATTAATCGTTCGTTCAGTTCAAAAAACTTTTCAAAGGTCGTTCGAACGGTTTTTTTCACTTCTCTAAGCATTTCAAGTCGTTTGAACAAATTGTTTGTTTATTTTCTAAACAACACCACCTCAACCATAATATTTCTAAAAAAAATTGTTTTAATAAACTGGACATAATGTTCTATTGGACTAACGTTCGTTTGGACTCATGATCATTTGGACTGACGTTCAAAAGAACTTTATAGTCCTTATGAAGAAATATTTGTTCAATTGAACTGATTTATCAAAATTTTTAAGATCACCTTCAATTTATAGGTTCAACTATTTTTACATATTTTTAGATGTAATCTTTATTTGAGGGAATTTTAACTGTAAGGTTAAAAGACTATTTTTGGGCCGTGAGCTGCGGATATGACAGGCTAGGGAACAAAGAGCTACGGCTAGGACAGGTAACGGGGCCGGCGCTGCAAATTTAAAAAAAAAATAATGCTAGTGTATCAACAAAAACTAATTTTTTTTAAAAAATTGTGAATTCGAAAATAATTCAATTCTTGTTTGTCCATATGTTCTAATGTTTAAATGGACTAAAAACCGGTTTGTAAACAGCTAACTTTATCAAAAAGTGTACGTTAGTCCAAATAATCAGCCTTTAGTCCTTTCGATATAGCATTGAACTTAAACAACGCAGAAATTAAAATTCTCAAGTTATATATCCCGTTTGAACTACCGCCGTTTAAATTATTGTTTATTTGAACTATTGTACATGTGAACTATTAATTTACAATAATTCAAATGACCCTAAAAAAAAAGTGAAAATGAAAATTAAAAATAGATTTGATGAACAAAAAATAGTTCAAATGACATAAAAATAGTTCAAATGAACTTAAAAAAATGATTTAAAATTTTTTTTAATAAATTCATGAGTCTAAATAAAATATAAATTAGAGGAACAAACAAATTTTTAGACAATTTTTTTGGTTTATTTAAACTATTTTTCTGTTCATTTGAACTAATAGCCACAGCGCTCGGCTCGGCCCCCTAGCCTGTCCTAGCCGCAGCGCTCGGCCCAGAAATTGTCTTAACCAACCCTAGAACTGAAATAATACTTTACATTTGAACTTTCCCTACTAACATATGTATAGGTATATTTACTTAAAAATTCATATGCTCAATTTTTTGGTAAAGAACTTGCGACAATAAACTATATATGTGCAGTAGAACTTGTACAGTACAGTACAGTAGAACTTCTTTCTGCATTTTTTCTCATTCTAATTTTGTATTTCTCTGGTCTTAAGAATGTTGTGCTGTCTGCTATAAATAATAATAATAATTATGCACTGTACGCATGAAGAACAGGGGGCGGAAACGTCATGTGGGTGTGTCTGTACCAAAAGAGTGTGTGTCAGTTTACTGTACCAAAGGTTTGTACTGTAGGTATATACAGTACGTAAGAATCTCGGTATTTGTACAGTCTAGGAGAGTACATTTGTTTATTGTTCATTGTTTACTTAAAAATAAGTTTAATATGCATGTAATATATTATTCACATATCTAAATCAACACTATAAAGCTAAATTTTCATGCAAAGAATATAATTTGATTAAAGTTTACAATAAACTACTCGTTATTCAAGTTTAATTATAATCGACGACATTGTGCTACAATTTCCTTGACTGTAGTCATATTGTGTGTCTGTACCAGAAGAGTGTGTGTCAGTTTACTGTACTGGTCTACAAAGCAGTGCGACTGGCTTTCTCTTGCCGGACCAGAGCCATTTCCTTTCCCTTTATTCCTGTTCCCTGATGAAGAAGTGTAAATATTCCGTAAATCCATGTCATACAGTGAAACCCTTAATAACGAACACATCGGAAGAATTTATCAAATGTCGTCTTGATAATTTTTCAATGAGTTTTATACTATATTACGTGAATTTTAGAATTTGCGAAATAAATAAATAGCCATGAATATGCGGGAACAGTTTTAAAGAGTTCCATATAATCATTTAATTAAAAAACTAAATATATGCAACATTCCATTATCAGAAAGTGAAGAATACGACATTTGATGAATTCTTTCGATGTATTCGTTATAAAGGGTTTCACTGTAGTATAGGGCGGATAATAAACCACCTTCATGTGTGTATTCAAGACATGTGTGGGTTGGAGATTTTCCTTAGAAATCAACCTCATGGATCACTCAAGCCAACTTAAGGTCATGTTCTATTTATAGCCTAAGCCAATCAGGAGAATCCAAAAGATTGGGTTTAACACGAGGTAACCTACAACAAGCTTGACCAGGCTAAAGCCGAATATATCGGCAGTTCTGCAACAAAGAATTAAAGGGGAGAACAGAACAAGGCTTGAATGAGATTCGCCATGAAAGGTGGATAAATTCCAACTAAAAATGTAGTATTAAACTATTTGTCTTTGTATACTGTAAAGATATTTTAATTATACTCATCTAAACTTACTTATTTCATGTAATTCCATTTTACATTAGAAAATATGTTTAACGTATAAAATCTGTAAATATATGTTCAAAGCAGAGTTACAACTTTATGATATTATATAATCATATCCAATAAAGACAAACCAATTTTGCAGCATGACATTTTATTAACAATTTCCAACTATTATTTGGCAGGTGAATAAAGTGCATTAATGATAATTTTTTAATATTTGTCTAGACAAGGAAAAAAATAAGTGGGCAAAACAAATTGTTAAATAAAGGTTAACAAAAGAATTACAGTAATTTTATGTTAAAGGGACTGTAAAGGAAAAATGAATGGGGGCATAGGCTGAAACCTGAGATCTCAGGAGCTGAACGATAAATGTAAGGCTGTTGACACAAATAAAAGAACAAAAGGGATATTCGGTAACTTTATTGAATAATAGCATGAAATGAGAAATAAAAGCAAAGTTTAAAAATATTGACCCTTAATTGGGAGTATCTAAACGGTTGAAAATGAAATAACATTGATTATTAGTGTTGAAAGGAATGGAACAGTTGGAGCTTCATGATGGTCAGCTCACAGGTGTCAGCATCTTGGCAGCAAAGGGTTCATATCTAGGCTAGGGTCCTTGAGGGTTTGCAGTCTGTAACATGTGTAGGGAGGAACTGATTGCCTCTCAACCCCTGGACATGCGA